TTTGTTACTGTTTCAATGAAATGGTATAGAATAAACAATAAATTCATTCATGTATTATTAATTATTAGCATTATTGATTTTACTTTATTATTTATCTTTTGTTTTCCTTTTTTTTTTGAAATTTTTCTTTTTTACTTGTTGACTTTCTATCTTCCTGATGAGCATAATTCATCACCACTACTAGTATTTCAACTGTATTTTATTCTTTCAATTGTACATGATGAATGTTGGAAGTGATTTCAACTTCCTTTAGAATAAAACAATTTTTTTTTAGAAAAAATTAAATTAGTCTACTTTTGAGTTAACTACTTGCAAGTAGACTCATTTTTATTTGAAATATTTTATTTGAACTTAAAATTGATGTCAACATGGTTCAAAGAGCTGTTCATTCATGAATATGAGATTTTAATAGAAAACCTAGTTACTTTGATGAAGGGAATGGTTCATAACCTCTATGAGTCAGTTATTAAGATCTATTCTATTGATCCGAACCAACGAACAGTTAAAATTATATGAGAAAATATTGAAAATTTAACTTTATACGAAATGATGTAATTGTCTGATTCTATTTTTTGCATGATATATGCAGAAAATGAAGTTAGAACAAATAAAAATCAATAGAAGATGGAATGGTGACCACCAAATAAATTGGACTTAGTGGTATAAAGTGACAGCTATGATATATGAAGGTTTTTGATTTCGATACGTGGTTCGGTCATAGGTCTTCAGTATCGAGACTTCATACTGATGAAGTAAAAGCTACTCAGTACTTGTTGGTGATCAAAGGTTGTGTAGCTAAATGTCTGTTATATAACTACAGATATTTTCATGTTTAATGAAGTAAATTTATGTAAACGAGGTTTAAGACTAAAATTTAAGATTATATTTAAGCTCCAGTTAAGTGTTAATCGACAAATACCTAAAGGTTCATAAATATGAGTAGCAACGACGGTCAACGAGGCATAGATAGATATAAGTACTAGTGGAAAATGCATTAAATTGTAAACGTTGGTAGAGTATTGGAGTGGACAGAACCCAAAACTTCAAATAATCCTGGTTAGTATCTTGATTGATGAGGTAAATATGAGATGGAATATTTTCACGTTTCCGAAGTGTACCATAACTGGGTTTACTACAGACTCTTCAATATGATTATAAAAAGCTATGATCTTGATAACAATTGGATCTTCAAGTTATGTTTGAGACGATGACAAGGCAATATTGTAGTAATTTCAATTTTTGAGATGAGTTAATTGAAGCTAGACCATCATGGAAAACCTGAACCGCCGTCCAGTTCTTCCAGGCGCTTAAAATGAGAGATAAATGGAAATTTTATATAGAAAGGTAATCTACATTTTTTTGCTACTTCAAATATGTGAAAATATTTTTGATAAACTCAGTTACTTGCATAAAGATAATGAGTGAAATAGGGAGTTATAACACTGAATGTGAATTTGAAGCAACAATATTCGGTAAATACCAACAATATAACACACCAAGCTTCCAGAGATAATAAAGACAGTTGTGAAAACTTTAAATTACGTAATCACCAGGAGACAAAGTTATTATGCAAAATCCTAAATAGTGCAAGTAAATATGTCTGGAAGTGCATCAATATACTGTAATTTAGTGGAATGATTACAGTATGCGAATGAACGATAATTAGCTCTAAGTAAATCTTATGACTTTCCCAAGAATTTCGATAGAATAATTAGAAGATGGAGCTGATCTGGAAAATGTGATGTATTTGCGTCATACATTTCGAATAATCTGGTCAGACATACTTGTCAGGGCATTTTTATAAGAAAATTAAAAAAATGGTCAATTAAATGAAAGTTTAAGTAAAAAAGGTAACAAATGCGAAACATTTTACATCGTATGGAAATAAATTGTCGCATTACCCCAGGCCATAAAATGACTTAATGATTACCAGGGTAAAATCAAAGTTACGACAAATTGTTTTTGTACACATAAGCAGGGGGGTAGATTTACGAACAGTCAAGGCTTCAATAAACCTGAGAATTCGTCCTTGACAATTTCTATACAACGTTTTAAAAGCTGTATTAATGTCAATTTTGTGCCCCGTTTCAATTATATGTTTCGCTATCGATGAACATGGTTTCCTACCTCCCACGTCGATCGAACCATTTGACACTAATTGGTTTTGAAGCCATCTAGGCACATGTTCAATGACCTTTGATTGCATTGTCCGATTACTCCTCCCTATGTATGTGTCCACACAAACATGTAAATTGATAAATACAACAGGATGTGACGTAATCATTTGTGCATTGTCTAGGCCTATTTGGAATCATGAACTTAGGCTTATCAATCACAACTAATTTAGCAACATAATAGATTTTCTCGATGACTGCTTACAATCTTCATATTTATACTGTTAGATTCACCTCTATAAGGTACATAGATATAAACTTTTTTCGTTGGAACCGAATAAACGAGAGGGCTCGGAGTTAACTGCCTGTTAATAAACTTTAGTTGACAACTGTTTGATATTAACGTATCAGTCAGCAACTTTTCATCTTTTTCAACCATATCAGTTGTGCAAATTCTTTGAATCCTATTAAAGAGACAATTCATCAAGCTTCGCTTGTATTGCAATGGACGAACATTTTTCAGATTAATTGTCTTCTAATTGCTCTATCGAAACTAATAAAAGGGACTAATTGCTTTGTTTCCCAAGAATGCCTCACTAAAAACCATTTCTCGAGTTTATGAAAATGAGTCGAAACTGGCACGAAATTGACAGCATTTCTCAGATATTAATTAATCCGTACTCCAAAAAATATGAAAACAGTATATTGTTAACAATTCACCTGTTAGTGCGTGGTCGAAAGCTAAATACAAATCTTGAGATAATGGTTATTTCATGAAGTATTGAGATATAACAACCGTAAAGTCACTTATTCGAGAGACTAAATACCGACTTCTGGAATGCAGGACCTTTTATTAAATCCCTTTATATGAGATGGTGTTTCACTGCCAATAATTTACATAACAATCAACATAATGACTCAACCTCTGTCGACTAACGCATACAACAAGCTCTTCTCTACACAGTAGCGTCAGAACAATCGGTTTGTATCTTTGACCTTTACAAAGTCAATGTAACATTAGGGATCAGTTTGTTGAGAACAACCGGGAAATCTTATTTGACTAAGGGAGATATGATGATAAATAGATTACACAAAACGCAGAGTCTAGTATAAATATCCACTAGCCCAAATTAAGATACTGAATGATCACCTCAAGATGAAATAAACAATATAACGGAGTCGAAATATTAGTGTCTATGACTATGAAAAATATTAAACAGAGATATGGTCCGTAACAATTTCCAGGAATTATGGAACTGGTTTTTCTAAAATCCTGTATACCAAATGGGACTGTATAAAGGTTTCTTCAATAACTATAACGTTCTATATAATTATGAGGATCTCATGAAAAAATGGAGGATATAATCTAATGTTGGACACCTAAGGTGAATATTCTAACCAGCAATCGTGTAATATTTCCAATCTAACTTCCTAACATGGACAATATATTGTAGGCTATATGAGCTATAAGATAATAGTGACAGGGGAGGTTGACTATGAATACAGTGGTCTCGAGTGCTGTTAGAGGTATGAGGGCGGTTATCACTTCCCGGTCGCCCACGCCGTGGAAGGGTTGTTCTGGAGGTGCCTGAAAAGGAAATTGGATTAGAGGTGGTCTTAGTGACGTGAGAGCGTGACCGCAGTGCCCAAGGGACAATTGCTTGGGGTCGGTCACACACGACCGTTTTATCGGTAATTTTTGTGTTAGCTCCGTACTTGTTGAGACCTTACCGCCGGAGACGGATATCCGTGGGATAAGGCGAGGCGTGCATTTTTAGGGTCGACCTTTTCTAACCCCACCCCTCCTTGTGGGAAGGCAGCATCGCTGCAGATGCTGGTTGTTTGAAGGAAACACCTTAATGCTGTCACACCTCTGTACAGTCAGCATTACGACTTCGCCTTCGGACCTTGGGTTTGTTGCTTTTAGTCTTACCGCTCTTCAACCGAACTGTCTGACATGGTAGGACCTTGAGGAACGGTTGTTCCAACCAGTATAGCTCGGTTGCTTCATCACGATAGTCAAGCTCGACCACCACATCACGGTAGCAACAACGATCGGGATATTAGTGACATAACTCAGTAAGCATGTATGGTCTTATGCACTAATTATCAGATTGCACTTGTTATATGAAGACTGCATGTTTTTCGGATACATAGATCAAAATAGAATATCAGTGGTTCAAAACTGGAACTTAGTGGTAGAAAACCGGAGCTCAATAAACGTTTCTTTAACGAACACTAGTCAGCTTTTAATTACAACTAGCAATGATAAAAACAAAGCACTATACTCAAATTATTTACCAAGTACACGACTATGTACTCGGGTTTGAGCCAAAGTGACTCTGTGTATGAGGACTACTGATAAAATCCCGCTGAACAAACCAAAATGGGTTGAAGGGTACTAAGGTCTGATCCGTACTAGCCGAGACTAAAATCGTTTAACTATTAAGGGTTGTTACCCCTTGGTTACTTCTTGAGACATTTGAATGTGAGACTGAGTTAGTAGTTGTCCTGATTACCCGGAAGTGCTATTGCAGGGACAACTTCCTAAGGTCGGTCAAACACGGCTCTTCTGTGAATAGCTCTTGATGTATTAGCTCTGTACAGAATGAATATTTCTTTATGATCCCTTTTCGTTGTGGAAAGTAGTATCGCTCTGAATGCTGGTTATCTGAGGAAAACACCTTACTGTCACCAGATCTCTGTAAAGCCAGCAGTACGACATCACCCTCAGCCGTTAAGTGCTGTTTTTAGTGCTACCACTTTCCCACAGACCTAGTTTACATGCTGAAACAAGTGTTCCAGTCAATATAGCTCAACTGGATCATCATGATGGGCGATCCAGAACATCACATCAAACCAGTAGTTACAATAAGGAGGTTCTTTATAATTACTGTTTATTACAGTTAACCGATATTTTGTTTAAAAACAAAGTTACTCCTGAGTTTGTACATTTAACAAATTTTCTAGATTGATAAAAACCGACCAAATCAATCCATTAATAAGGATTATAAAACGCTTCAGTATTTCTTAAAATTAAAAACAAACAAGAGAAGAAATAATACTGAACATCAGATACAATTTATAAAGGTGGCCAATCATTTTCATTATTAGCTGTAATTATACCAGTTGTAGGTGGTGTCAATGAATCCCAACAGTTAGCATATTCATAATTAGTAAGTGTAGATTGTGTTTGTAACAATGGTGAATAATAAATTGTTTGATTTTGCTGAGCTTGAGATTGACGAAATTGTTGACAAGGTGTCCATAAATTAAGTGACTGATTATTATTATTACTATTATTAGTGGAGTTATTATTATTATTATTATTGTTATTATTGAACTGTTGTGATAGTTGAATGGATGATGCTGGATGCATTTGTGAAATCCCAGCAGTAGGATTTGATTGGTATTGTTGACCTTTAATCAATTGTTGTAAATCAATTAAAGTTAAAGGAACACTTTTAGGATTTAGTGACGGAACAACATTATCTTGTGGTATTGATGGGACAGAAGTTAATTCATCATGATCACAAATAGGAATTGAATTTAATCTATTAGCCATTGCAAAGTGACCGAAATTCTCACGTATTAATTCAGCGGCATGTTTTTGATCATTTAAACGTATAGCTAAATAGATACGTAGTAAAATAACTGTAGTCGGTAATAATTTACAATGATTGGTTATAGTTGCCTCTTCTGATAATTTATTAATATGCCATTTTCGACCATCTACTTCATTTGCTGATACAAATAAACCTGGTAATGATAGATCTAAGTATTGCTTTGACAAAGTATATTGTTTTTGAATAGCTAATGTGACTGCTAAATTGTAAGCTAATAATGATGAAGACTAAAATGAAAAATAAAAATAGAATTTTTCTTTAGAAACTTTATAAAATAAAACAAACATATTAAAAGAGAATATATTGTATGTATACTAAAATACGGCAGCGAAATCCGACCTTAGGCCTCCTTGTGGCGCAGCTGAATAGTGGAGGCAACCCTGCTAGCTAACTTAGGCGGTCACAGAGATCGGACCGATCACCCACTCTGTTGTATCTAGCCAATCCTGGATTCTATAATCGGACTCACTTTACCGCTCGGGCTGCTCGATGTGTATGCTTATGTGTGAGGACTGCAGAAGTTCTCGGATCTATGTAGTTCAAGCATATAGGTAGATGAAAAGGGTACGCATGCGGTGTCGTACAAAAGAAACGTTGAGTTGCAAAAATGTTTTTCCTATGTCTAATAAAATCAGCGGCTTATTTATCAGGTCGAAGACATAATATAAAGAGGTGGTAGCAACTACTAGGGTGAGGCAACCAACAATCTCCCCTGAGAGAGTGCTTATACTTATATGTATGTCAGGAAATACTGGGGCGGTAGTAATAGTGTGAATGGTATGCATATAACGTGTACGAGTCAGTCTGGTGTACCAAATACGTTTTCTTTGGGAGTGGTGAAAATCTACCCTCCCAGGTGGATGAATATACTTATTTGTATGCTATGGGATGTATGAATTAAGACCTGTGTGTTATTGGTATGCATATAACGTATATTTGCTCACAGGGCATGTATACCTGAATGTATGCCAAGTAATACGCGGATGAAAGTTCGTGTTTTAGTATGCAAGTATACCATACATATACAGGGCAAGAAAATTCGCAAACTTCTTTAATTGTTCTTTTGGTGCAATAGCATTATGTATGCAAAGACCTGTGGGGCCACCGTCACTACTAAATCACATTTACGCGGTTTGTGAGCCTCCAAAAAACGGAATCCGTTCCAGAAGGACCACTAGGTCTCCCCAGTGGGCTTCATTAGCCGTTCTGGCTGGAACACCACACATACTAAAATAGACTTTGACTAAAAGTATACATAATTAAGTAATCTAGTTCCAAGGTATTTTATATATTAAATTTCAATATTTAACATTGAATATAACGTACTACTACTAAGTCAATTTACAAGGTTTAAATGCCAGATCATAATTCACATAATCAAAAGATCTTTATTGAGATTGAAAAGCAGGTACACATCTTAGATTAATGGTCTACTATTGAATGAATTCAAATATTTATTTAAATGTAGTTAGTAAAAAAGCTGTTGTCTGTTACATTAGTGTAAAATAAAAGATATTATGATGTAATTCAGCAACCTATAGGTTCGTAAATTAAACAATTAGTCATACCAACCGTTGAACGAACTTTAGAAGATGAATTCTGACCCTATGACAGACTTAGCTTTAAGGTGAGTGTATAAACTGACGGACAGAAGTCTTATAAATCTATCAACACAGTTTAAAAGTATCTTAAGATTATAACCTACAACTATTTAAGATTATATCAAAAGTATCAATTATATGTGAATTATTATGTAGTACGCGAGTAAGGTTTCGCCGATATCTGAAACTGAGTCAAATTGTTGAGTAACAACAACACCCTACTGAACTTATAACTATAAACAATAATGAATAGTTAGAAGTTAAAAAAAACACAAAAAAAACTAACAAACTAACCTGAACAACATTAGAAGGAAAGTCCACAGGTCGAATAATTGATTGTTTTGAACATCTATTCACAAGAAACGACAGGTTAGTCTCATCGCAAATATCCGAGTTGTTATTCACTGAATCATTATTTGTAGAAAAGTCATGGATATAATCAGTGTTAGGAAAAAGAAATGGCATTGCAAAACAAACACCGTTTAAAGAACGTATAATGGAATCTAACTGATTATTTGTGGATATTTGTAGTAAAGCAGTGGCTTCATCTACTCTACAAAAATTGAAATAAACGGGATTTAAATTACACAACAACATTAATAAAGCATTTTTATAAAAAAAAATATTTTCTGCATATTATAGAGGTACTCTAAATACACTCATGTGGAAGATACAGACCAAGGATTTTTGTCTGTCAATACACATCAGAATAATATTATCACTCATACACAAATGTATCGTTCAAAGTTGCTCATGAAAATATTATTGACGTATTCATCAAATAGCTGAGAAATTTCCGTAGAACCATATTATGTGGATAAACGTTTGATCATCTCATGATAAAATAGATCCTATAAGACTGATAGTATTGACTGAAATACTTTAATTTACTCTACAAACTAAATAGTAGAACATTATGTTGTATTCAATCTCAAAAAGTGCAGTGAATAATTTTACGATTTGATTTTATTTATCTAGCATACATTTCAGGCTGTTAATAATTACAATCATTTGCATTGTGCCAACAGCAAACCAAAGCAACTAGGCATAAAGAAACATTTTCGAACTTGACAAATCTCTCAGATAAATTAAGTAAAATATACATAATTCTGATAGGTAAGAATGGTTTACAACTAATTACATTGTTTAGGGGAGATTAGATTATGCTTTTTTTTATAGTTTAAGGAAATAAGAAGTTTAACTTATTGAAGATTAAAGTTTAGTACATACTTTGTGAAGTAGATAATAGTAAAATGGATGAGAAAGAGTAGAAACAGTTGTAAACGAATAAAATATATAGTTAAAAGTAGAGAAGATGAAGTGAAGGAATACGTCGGTATGAAGATTTTTGAGTTGGCATTTTCTTTTGACAAATATTACTGTGTTCAATTTATTTTCACTGTCATTAAAAAAAAGCTTTGTTTACACCTGTTTAGTGTTTTAATAAACTTCTGTCCTATTTTTAAAACAATATCATAAACGTTTTCACGTATAACATATGCATACAAAATCAGTACTCTTTGATCGATCTAATGATTTTTCTATCTGACTAAGATATCTTTCCCTTCTGCATTAGATAAAGCTAAAAAGGAGATGAGGAAGTTGTTTTCATTAATTATTCAAATCCATCGGTATTCGCCTTAATTATTTAACTACTTCACCAATACTGACGTGTTATATTACTTCTATCAATGTGTAACGTCAGACTTTTATTTATAATATATGAAATCGTACTAGTATCCCAGTCAGTCATAGGCAAAGTAGAACCTGGCACATATATACATCGACCTAAACTGTGAGACTATATCAGTATAGCGATAAAATTACTAAGATGGATGTCAGCATAATACAAGTAGTAGTAATAGAAAACATTAGGTATATAGAAGATTCAGGAAGTATGAATTCATGGAATAAAATAATTTTGAAACAAAGAGCGAATGGATCTAAAGCGCCACAAAGGATTCCAAACCACCCGTCTTTAGCAATTGGTAACGATAATTGTGTGAACCTTAACTAAGTAGTCTGACCTACTTACACAGATTAAACGAACAACAAATGATTTCAAAGACTGATCCCATCTACTGGTTCGACTTTCCCTAGCTTTCTAATAACCTATCTATACACCAGCTAAAATTACACGTCGAAAGGGGTGGTTGTACACATGTAATGCAGGTTTTTGGTACCTTAATCTATGAATAGTTACAGTCTCACCCATTCCCTATATTTATTATTCTAAGTCTAAGCTCAACATTTCTTAATCACTGTGGTCCCTGAACTGATAGGTTGACAGTTTGCCAACAAAAACCGTACGCAAAAAACATGATATCGTCGTAAAATTAATGTCGTTTTAACTATAGGTATCTAAAGATATAAGTCGAAGAATGAACGGAATATACAATATCACTTGTCAACAAACAATAATACACAAAATAATTTGAATAAAAACATACTTATCCAGATAAGTCAAAGCTTCAGCACAATACAAACGGCATAAATAACTGTGGATTTTTGGAGCAATCATAGCAAGACTAGGCAGATATTTTTTACGTTTAACCGATCCTACCGGAGTAGAATTGGTTTCATTTTGTGGTACTGAATCCATTATCAAACTGGCAGAATGTATTACGTCTACAAATTCGTTTAAACACAAAGCCACATACGATATGTTCACATGTAAAGCTGACAAGAAGTGTAATAATCCGATACCGAACAATGGTGTTGGTGATGGATAAGTGGAGATAAACTAAGAAAACAAAATTCAATAAGTTAGGTGTATTAAAATTTAATAAAGTACTGTGAAATTTAGTATAAACATAATTTAGCAACTATTTAAAAAAAGAGTGCTTTATGATGTATCAATCGTATGAAAGTTAATGATAGGAGCACAAATAAAGACAGGCCCAAGTTATCATATTAGTAACCAAAACATGTACCATGTACACTTCGTAGACTTATCATAAAAAAGTGCTAAAGTTATATATTAGGAGAGTTAAATTCTAATTGTACAATAAGTGGATGATATGATGATACTTTAAGAAACCCTTTTAGAAGGACTAAAATACAAACATCCGCTTGTTTTATTGAACACATACCAAAAACCAAGTCAAATACGACAAACAATGCATCACTAGTTCAAAGTGACATAATCAAATTTATTCTTTATCTTGAACTAAATTACAAGCGTAGTGTCATCACTCCGTCATTCTCCGTTCACCAATCTCATTCGTACACTCACACTACAGTTTTATTAAATTTTCGAACGCGATCGACACCATTGTACAAATGCTTCTTTGGGTCTTGTGAATTTCGTTTCTTGTTGCACTTTAGTGGCCCAAGATCGGACTCCAGTTAAATCGTATGACGATTGTCGTCGAAAAATACATGTCGCCAACCCCCGTATATTCTTATTGACTTAACTTGCGTTGGACAAAAAACGGAATAAAATAAGTGAGATACGAAAATGAAGTATGAATGAGTATATTTTGTACAATCGTGTTCCCAACGTTTGTCTGCTTAGGGAACAATACCACTACAGTGTAAAGGCTAGTGCTGAGTGTTCTTCAATGCTATTTTTCCTTATCGTGTGTCTTTAGCTTCGACCTGAATATATTCTACTATCTCTTTCAACCTGTAATCCAGCATATATGTTGGTTCTTACGGCCCACGGTTTGTCGCCTAATCGATGTCTTCTGGGATGTCAGTTAAATCCCTTCGGTGCATACGTACTTACGCCCAGTACCCCTCATAGAGGATCATAGGTCACCAACCAGCAGTTTCCATCTAACTCTATCCTGAGCAATATTTTCCAGTTATTTCCAATCACTATTCATCCTTTTGATGCCTGCTCCCGATTCCCGAACCAGTGTGTTTTTCAGCTTTCTTCTTTTCTCATTCCATTCACCATTCCAAATGGGGAATTACCTCGTGATGGGCTTCGATGATTTCCGCTATGAATGTCCTATTCACTTCCAGTGTCTTCCCGACTTCCTCTTCAGTTGGAAAGTGGTTTGTTCTCTTCCACAGTAGGTTGTTGCTGATGCTATTCGACCAACGGACATTGGGTATCTTGTGTAGACAATTGTTTATAAATACTTCTACTATTTTGATAATGGTTGTAGTAGTTCTCCAAGTTTGAGCTCCGTACAATAGAACTGTCTTGGTGTTTGTATTGAACGTTCTGACTTTGATATTCGTTGACAGTTGTTTTGAGTTCCATATATTCTTCAACTGTAGGAATGTGGCCCATGCTTTGCCAATCCTTGCCTTTATGTTTGCATCCGATACTCCTTGTTCATCGCTGCATGTTGCTGACAAGCTTTGTGAATGTTTCCACATCTTCCAGAGCTTCTCAATAAAGCGTGATTAAGTGGGTGTTCCCCGTTTGTATTTGAGACTGCTGCTGCAAAACTGACTGTCTTGACCTGCATTTGCTGGTATGTATAAGACAGAAGGGTCAGGTTATTTGTGAGGTCTAAATCGTTTAGTTAATTCCGAGCTGTCCATTGTATTCCATGCTCCCTTCGATGTGGAGGTTTTCATAATCGAGTCAACTACCAGAAGAAAGAGAAAGGGGGAGAATAAGTAGCCTTGTCTGACTCCGGTCGTACAAATTCCGCATGATATTGACGATTTTCTCAGGTATACCATAGTATCGAAGAAGGTTTCATAAGATTCTTCTATCCAAGCTATCAAACACATCCTCATGGTCAAGGAAGTTGATATATAGTGACGAGTTCCATTGAATTGATTGTTCAACGATGATCGGTAGTGTTGCGATTTGATTTGTACACGACCAATCCGGTATACTGATCTCGAAGCTGGACGTCTATTGAATCTTTTATCCGATTATTGAGCAAACCTAGGTTGAAAACTTTTCCTGATACCGACAATAGTGTGATGCCTCTGTAGTTCTCACACTTTTTCAGATCTCCTTTTTTTGGTATCTTGATGGGGTGTCCTTCTTTTCAGCATTCCTGTTGGCACTTGTTCTTCGTCTCAAATCTGCCTAAGAAGAATGTGAAGTATGTTTGCAGTTATCGCTATGTCTGACTTGAATGCTTCGGCGGGCATATCGTCAGATCCTGGTGCTTTCCCACTGTTAATTTGTCTCATGGCCATCGTGATTTCTTACGTCATTGGTTGACTGACATATATAGGAAGGTTTGGGAGTGCTGCTTTGGTGTTCAGTTGATTAGATGGAGCTGGGTTCAGTGGGGGCATGTCACTTCAAGAGTTCCTCGATGTGTTCTACACACCTCTTCCTCTGTTCTTGAATATCAGTGATTGTATTGCCTTCGTTTCTTTCTCCCAGTTCACATCGTCCCATGATATCTTCATATCTACTGTTGTTCATTCCGACTTTGGCGGTTAGGTCTCCCACCTGGATGGTCAAGTCCTTTTATGAACACTTCGCCATGATCGATTGCAGTCACTCGCAAAACTGATCTTCATCGTCATCGTTGCTATCATTGGTGGGTGCATAGCACTGGATAACATTCGTTGTGATACCCTCATTCTTTGTTTTGAAAGATGCCTTGGTGATCTTGTATCCATGAGATTCTCACCCGATAAGTGCATTTCGAGCTTCTTTGAACAGTATTAGAGTAACTCCTTGAGTGTGTGGAGCATTTTCTTCTTCGTTACTAGAGTACAGCAGCATCTCTCCCGTACCTAACCTTTTCTGTTCAGCTTGGGTCCAATGGGTTCCACTGATTTCGATCACTGTCAATTTGTATCTCTTTATTTTTGCAGCTATTTGATTAGTCCTCCCAGTCTCCAGCATTGTCCGGACATCCCAAGTACCTAAATTAATTGTTGCTCTGGCTGTTAGAAGGGACATCAGCCTCATGACTTTCGAAGAATCTCGGCTTTCAACGAGATGCGTCATAATTCTTTCTTCAACTCCCAGGGCAGATTTTAAATGGTTTGATTTGTTTAATCTGGTTGGCGGTATTTAGCGAGGTTATTTTCAACGGGATGGGGTTGCCGACCTTATGCCCAACCCTCCTCCTTTACACGGGCTTGGGACTGGAAGTAACCCGAAAAGAGCTACAGGCGGAGTTCGTGTTGACCAAGCGTTACTCAATATTTATATTTTAAAAAAAGTTACAGACACGTAATGATAGGTTGAGCAATTAACATACATATGATCATATAAAAACAGCCAGGGTTAATAAGCGAACGATAAACAAGGTTAAAATGTGACTTGGGAAGAATGAATAAACTGGTCTGTCCAGAAGCTAGAATAACCTACATGGATTTGACATAGTACCAGCCACTACAGTACTATTGGTATGATATACAAATTGTTAGACCTTACATTGTCAATAGACTAATTAATTAATTATGTTATATTAATTTATGGGATTGAAGTTGGTGATAAATGATAATTGCTTACTAACCTGTTTATTTGACCATTTAACAAGAGATGAAACATATGATGAATTAATTCTATCATTACTTGAAGACTTATTTGTAATAAGCTTATCAGGTGTTGGAATTAATAGGCTTGCATTACGTAACGCCAGAAATGCGAATTCCATGCTCGGAGACGATAATAATGTATCATCTACTTTTGACTTGGTGACCTAAAAAGTGGAAACAAAAATAATATAAAGTAAGCACACATACATGAATACTTCATACTAAATAACAAATTATAACATTACAATTTTTCTGGACAAAAAAATCCATCGCCAATATAAATGAGATTAAACAATCCAACTCGTTAATCATATACAAGTTCTCACAGTGAATAAATTTTGGTTATAATTATATTATGTAAGAACTAAGGACATGATCAAGTCTCCTACACTAAAATACGTCGATTAGTGTTTTAAACTGTAAATTAATACATAAAACAACCGAGCGTGCGTAAACCACTGTGTTAAAGTGAGCAAATTTAGCGCAACTTAACGAACAACACAAATCCACTTTTCTTAAACAAACAAACGTGTGATACATAAAGAAGCTAAAAGCGAATTAACACTAAAAGTTGAAGAATGATAAACTTCTAACAAATTATGTAATCATTTTCAAACAAATTTACCATCAGATGAATGATTGCTTACAAAAGAAACAAAGGTGATTGATAAGTTTGTGCCAAAGGTGTTACGCGTATTCAGCCACTGACAACCGCAACACATACATTGATAGCTGGAAGGCTAGGAACAGCGTCACATCAGTCAACGAAGTCACTCACTGTAGATCTGGGACGTGTAGGCAGATTTAAAGTTATTGTTTAGAGATTTCAAGTTATAAAATGCATAACTAGTGGCAGTGATGTAATTAAATTTATCATATATTTTCTTTCCAACTTTAAGTTATAATGTTATCGTATAATTTTTATCTCTTCGATTCCATCCATTCTTGTCGAATTAAATTTCTTATGTTTAATTGTTTACTATTATTGGTAAAATTATTTCGACTTTCTTAGTTTCTGTTTAGTTGGTTTGCTTCTAACTGTGTTAATATGAAATTCGGCCCGCTGAATTGATGGAAATTCACACGAGATATACTACGATGTTTATGATCTATTGACTAACTGAACTAACTAGTTTGTTTTACTTTGAGAATAACGAAAGGAATGTATTAATTATTCATTTTAAACAAAAATTGAAAATTAAAATGATTAAAATCTGCCAAGGAAAACATTATTATGTAGACACAGTAATGCCTGATGAAAGTAATCGAGATTTTTTAGTTTTAGTAAACTAATGAAATACATCACAACTACCGTCACAGTTACCATTACAAGCTTTCTGCCAACCTACTCCTATACCATTGAACATCGCACGTCGAGGCAGTCGGTCGTTGGGCATACGTAACACGTGTCCCAGCCACCTCAACTGAAGTTTCACCACTTTATCAATCGATTTGTCATCCTTACCTAGTACCCGTTTCCTAACAACTGCGTTACTTACTCGATGGTCCCATGATATACGAGCAATGTTTCGAAGACACCTATGATTAAATAGTAACCTACGGATATCCTCTACTCTTACCGGCCATGTTTCACTGCCATAAAGTAGGACGGAATGAACTGCTGCGCAGTAAACCCGTCCTTTGGTTGATAGACGGATATCTTGCCTACGCCATAAATGACGCAAGTTGGTAAAAGCTAGTCGAGCCTTCTGTATCCGTGCTGAGATTTCGTCACACGCCAGACCACAAGAGCTGATGAGACTTCCAAGATAAGTGAAGCGATCGACACGTTCAATTACTTCACTCTCTATCATTAGTTCGGGTGTCAATGCAACCCAATCCTGAAGAAACATTTTGCATTTTGAGGGCGAGAATCGCATCCCGAACATGCTTGCATTGTTGCTTAGAGTGGTCAGAAGACTCTGCATTTTGTCAGCGTCTTCATCAAATAGAACTATGTCATCGGCATATTCTAAGTCAACAAGTGAACCTCCCGGCAGAAGTTCGACCCCTGGAAATATAGACGAGGAAAGTGTCATCTCTAAAGTACGTCAATGACAAAGTTGAACAAGAATGGAGAGAGTGGATAGCCCTGACGAACACTACTTGAGGTAATCAATTATGATGACAGTTCGCCATAAGCTCTCATTCTACCAGTTGTGTTCGAGTAGAGAGACTGTATAAGGTTAATGTACTTCTTTGGTACTCCTTTCAGTGACAAACACTGCCATAGAACCCTACGATCGACAGAGTCGACTGCTGCTTTAAGGTCGAGAAATACTACGATTGTGGGGAGTCTGAACGTGTGTCTGTGTTCTAGAACCTGACGTAGTGTGAATATCTGATCTATACAACCATGTCCAGATCGAAAACCAACCCGATTTTCTCTAGTCTGATCTTCACGAGCTTTGGTTAGGCGTCGAGGTATTATTGAAGCTAATATTTTAGACACTATATTAGTCAAACTGATTCCTCTGTGATTGTCACAAGAGGACTTTTGTCCTTTCTTATAGACTGGCACAATCAGTGATTGAGACCAGTCAGATGGGATTACGTCCAAATTCTACCTAAGACCTCAGTTAATCTCACTGCTAACACTGAACAATCGTCCTTAAAAATCTCAGGAGTAAACCTGTCAGGACCTGCTGGTCTCCTTCGCTTCAGATTTCCTATGACTTTTTCAACTTTGTAAAGAGACGGAGGACCTACATTAACTTGCCATTCAGGTTGACTGGAGATCGTGGGAAACCGAAGTGTGGCTGAAGGCCAGTTGAACTGATCCCTAAAGTTTTCTGACCATCAATCCAATCTCCTGGATTGAGAATGTATAATATGTCCATCTTTCTCTGAGAGTGTTTCGCTAGCAGTCGGTTTCCTGATATCGGTTTCTTTAACAAGTTTGCACAATTGTCTGCTATTACCTATTGCTGCTGCTTTTTCCATCTCTCTTGCTTTCGCTACCCACCACTGTTCACGATCATTGCGTAGACTTCTTGTCAGCTTGCACTTAAGCTGATTCCGCTCTTCATTATGTTTAGAGCCAGGTGGAATGAGTTTCCGAGCATCTATCAGTGAGATAGATGCTGCTGAGATCCAGTGTTGCTCCCTAACCTTACGGATTACCGTAATAGTAGATATCACTACTGTTTCCACAGCTTTTCGGATATCATTCCATGCTGCCTCGGGGTGGGCGTCACATACATGGCTGCCTAACTGTTTTCTTAGTTGTTCCTGAAATATACTTTTAGTTTGACTATCATTAAGTAAGCCCCTAAGAGGTTTACTTGCAGCGTCTTTCTTACGTCCAGTAAGACGCAGGCAAATACGCGCTCGTACTAGAGCATGATCTAAATCTAAGCATGTGCTCCAGAAAGAGCGCCAGTCTTCTATCGAGCACCTCCATCAGTGGCTGATAGCGATGTGATCTATTTGGGTCCAACGTTGGGACGAATTAGGGGGTCGCCATGTTAAAAGAGGTTTTTCTTTATGCTTAAAGTTAGTATTTGCAAGGAACAGGCGGTAATCTGAACATAGCTGCAACAGACGGTCGCCATTATCTGTTCTTTGAGCCACGATGCTGTAAGATCCATCTAGGTGTCTTTCCCTATCTCTTAGTTTACCTACTTGAGCATTTAAGTCACCGGCCACTATTACTACATCAGAGCACCTAACTTTTCGGAGAAGGTCGGAAAGCTTTCTGTAAAACTCATCTTTTACATCATCTGAGCTGCAGTCAGTGGGAGAATAGGCAGAGACGACGACGAGTGTCCCTATTTTTACAAGTCCCTACTGTTCCGTTTAGTCGGACAGCGCATAAACGACTGTCTACTGGGATCCACTCTAAGAGAGCTAGTTCTGCCCTAGAACTCAATACTATACCTACGCCGGCGAGGCCACGGGAAGCAGAATCAGTGCTTCCAGATACACAAAGTGTGAATCGAGTCGGTTCTTTATTTTGGCATGGTGAGGTCAGATGAATGACGCCACTCGGATCCTGTATGCGCGTTTCGGAGACGCAGCACACATCGATGGCGCGGGATTCTAAAGTCCTAGCTAAGGAAGCCCACCCCTCCTTGTGGGAAGGCAGCATCAATGCAGATGCTGGTTGTCCGAGGGAAACACCTTACTGCTGTCACACCCCTCTACAGTCAGCAGTACGACTTCGCCCTCAGACGTTGAGTTGCTGGTTTTAGTCTTACCGTTCTCCAATCGACCTGCCTGGCATGGTAAAACCTACAGGAACATATGTTCCAGCCAATATAGCTCGGTTGGGTCATCACGATAGGCAAGCCCGACCACCGCGTCAAGGTAGCAGCTTCAGCCAGACCAAAACATGGCACATGTCCATGAAGTCACTGACAAGTGGACTGAGTCATGTCAGTAGATGTAGACTACCTGGTTGGGGACCGCGAGATGATAGCAACCGATGGTTAGAGACCTTAAATGACATGGCTCAAAATCGTTTGCAATGGCGCAGGTGCATACACTCTTTGTGTTCTTGCAAATTTTGATCTCCTTATCCCTCCTTGTCTCTTTTTTTTCTCTTCCCAAATTTATTTCACTGTATTATACTATTTAAATAACATCTCCAAACACTAATCTTCCCGATTACTGATTACACTCTTACTACCCCTACCACTACGGGATTTGAATCGACCACTGCATCTCTGCGCTAATGTGGTGTGGCAACTCAAACTGATGTACGTACATGCGAAGTTCTACGTTGTAACTGACTGACTAATTTTAACGAGGAATATTTGGGTATTTTTCCATAAAATTTTCGAAGTTATCAAGTATTCACTTTGAGGTTAACGTACATAAAAGAAAGATAAGTCTTGCTAAACTGACCTGTGGATTCACAGAAGCAAGTGATAATTTACGAAACGAACCAGAACCAAAGGTTTCAACAATACATCGTTTTCTTGATTCCATATTCCAAAGTGATAAATTATGTGGACTAAATTTTCGAAGGAAATACGAAAACTTTGCGAAACAAATCATTCAAACAAAGAAATCAGAGTAAAGTACTACAGAATGAGGAGTATACGCGAATGAAACTTTACAGTTTATCCAGTTATCTGTAACTGAGATAGTTAGACACAGTTAATAAAGCTATAATTTTTCAGATTAAAAGCATGTCACAGGAAATAGAAACCACAATAAAAAAGTGGAAATAAAGCAACTGAAACAATGAAGAATTAATTATTTAATTACATAATGCAGATTAAATGCAGTTATACTATAGGTCAGTATTAATAATTGGCGCTGTCAGTAAGGACGTCATGATTGACAAAATTTTTGAACGATTTAAATCACAAATCAACGATTTCAACGTATCTTAAGCTTCATATATTTCAGACTTTCTTCAACTTGTTTTTAGTTTAACTAGCACGGTTAAACGTGAATGTAAATAACCAGTAATGTGTATTGGTAAGGTGTTTTTATTTACATCCTAGTATGAGCAAGCACTTAGAAAAAAATTAACTCTGTAAAATAATACACAAACTCCATGTCCCTGGTTCATTGCTTAAGCTAGTAGGCATTTTTTTCAATTCGGACAGTAAGCTTTACTTTAAAAGAATATTAATAACGGCACTCACGCATCTGCTAAGTCTTGTACATAATCATATTTTCTGGCGGAAAAACTCTAAGCTACAAGATGATGCATTGAAATAGAGGTCATTTGTCGATAATTAGAAACAAGAGTAGGTACTTTTGATAATCTCAACACTAAACTCATACATTTGTACAGGAAATTATATAACAATTTAACTCACTAATGTGATCCACTAAATATAACAAGCTAAACCGTGCGAAATAGCAAAATCCAATTTGTTAGGAACAATTATAAGCTACAATAAAAATACATCGAGTTTTATTCTGTTCAGTTAGAAAATCCTGTATCACACTAAACAACGTCTCAAGTTACACATCAAATATAATACGACTACAAAATAAGTAAAAAAGGTTATAAGCATAAACGATCTGATATACAGATCTGAAAATGAACGGAAGCAATTCCAAAGAAGTAAAATGTGTTACATATACCCAATACCTATAACAATAATGTAACATACCTACCAATGCAACTTTATACAACATTCGGCAAGACGAAACCATAGACGAGGATTTCTTGGATAAATACGAACAAGTTGTGATAGTGTAGAAAATGCTTCTGAAGGTCTGTTAGTGAATAACAAGTGTATCCCATAATTATAAATCAATTCGTAATGTTCAAGTAAACTGGAGACATGTAATGGAATCTGAAGTAATGAATTTCAGAAATAAAACATCAAAGTATGCTTTGATTACTGAACGTATTGATTCACATCTTTAACCTTTATCAAAATCAAACTGAACACTTTATTTATTGTCTGACAAATTTCAATGATATAGCCACAATATCTGAGGATTGTCATTGGATGCGTATATAAACTCGTACAGAAACAATTAGATTTAATCTACTAGTAATAAACTGTCGGAGATGCTTACTTTTTTCTGGTTAGCGTTTTTTTAGCGAGTTAGTTTTCTACGGGATGTGGACGCTAACCCCATGCCCAACCCTCCTCCTTTATCCGGGCTTGGGACCGGCAGTAGCCTCCGGAGGGACTGCAGGCGGAGTTTGTCGGGGATGCTAGATCCCCAGAAATCACTTGGTAAACGTCTTATTTTTGGGATTTTATTTTGGAAATTTCAACTTCTCGTTTGAGCGCCGAAAGGACCCATTCTTACCTTCGAATTGTATTTCCCACCTAGAAGGACCTGAACTGTCATTTGGCTCGTTGCCCCTTTTATTAAACTATTTTGTGACGTTTTTCAAGAACCTTTTTATGCTATATATATACACTTGAGTCGTGTGCTTGCTCGTCCGTGCTTCTGGCTGCTTGTTGAATGTACCTTTCTCTCATCTGAACCTGGTGTTCCCCTCCTAGTTAGTAGGGCTGGGGTGCATTGAAATAGTCTAGCTTGTCTTGTAGTTGTGTTGCTGATCCTTTGTTCCATCTCGTGATCTCTTCAAACATAGCATAAACACAATATAGGTTTTATAAATTGCATTTCTGCTGACATTTATTCACAAATCTTAAAACCAATGTGGCTTTTACTTCACTAGATGTAGTCAATCTTCGCAAACATGCAGGTGGAGCTCACACAAAAATTACCCATAAAAAGGTCGTGTGTGACTGACCTCAAGCAGTTGTCCCTTGGGCACTGCGGTCACGCTCTCAGGTCACTAAGACCACCTCTAATCCGATTTCCTTTTCAGGCACCTCCAGAACAACCCTTCCATGATGTGGGCAACCGGGAAGTGATAACCGCCCTCATACCTCTAACATCACTCAAGACCACTGTATTCATGATGAATCTCCCTCTTTAATTCCTATTATTTCTCCTACATCGACTTTCACCTCTAAACTTCCTTTTTCGGCTTCCCCCTCAAATGTCACAATAGCCAACGATTCTAGTGCTCAAAACACTGTCCCAGGTTTACTGAAACCTCGCTCCAAACTACACATTGGAGCCTTCAACGTACGAACCCTATGTCAAATCGGTCAACAGGCTTCCCTGGCTGGACCCTAGAATCTCGTACCATTGATGTATGCTGTGTCTCTGAAACACGAATACAGGATCCCAGTGTGGTCATTCACTTTACCTCACCTCGGCACAACGGGGAGCAAACGAGGTACACTCTCCGTGTATCTGGTGACCCGACGGCCAACTCTCGTGGACTGGCAAGAGTAGGCATAGCACTAAGTATGAGGGCGGAACAAGCACTGTTAGAGTAGATCCCCGTTAACAGTCATTTATATGCTGTTCGGCTAAACGGCTCCGTAAGAACTCGGAAGGATAAAAACACGTCGTTGCCTTTTTGTCGTTTCTGCCTACGCTCCCACCGACTGCAGCTCAGATGAAATGAAAGATGAACTTCTTCAGAAAGCTAAACGTTCAGACATAGTACTCGTAGCAGGTGACTTTAATGCCCAGATAGGTAGTTTAAGCCAAACAGAAAGGCATTTAGGTGGGTATTTTAGTATTCTGGCACAACGAACAGATAATGGTGATCGTCTGCTGCAACTGTGCTCAGACAATCGTTTATTTTTAGCAAACACAAATTTTAAGCATAAGGAGAGACATCGTCTAACATGGCGACCCCCTACACCAAACCAACGATGGACTCAAATAGACCATATTGCCATCAGTCATCGTTGGAGAGGGTCGGTAGAAGATTGTCGCTCATTCTGGAGTACCTGATTGGACTCCGACCACGCCCCAATACGGGCACGCATCTGCTTGCGCCTCACTGGACGCAAAATAGCCACATTAAAAAGACCCATTAGAACTGAGTTGAGTAACGAGAAAACTAAAAGTAAGTTTCAGGAACAACTGAGGTCACACTTAGGAAGTTCTGAAAACGAGGCTGACCCAGATGTTGCTTGGAAAGATATAAAAACAGCTGTGGAAACAGCAATGAAATCTATTGGTGACTTAACCCACAGAGTTACAAAGAACCAGTGGATTTCTTCAAAGTCTATCACACTGATGGATTCTCGCAAACTCGTCCCATCAGGCTCTGAACACTATGAAGAGAGACAACAAATCAGATCTAGGTTAAGCAAAAGTCTAAGGAACGACCGTGAGCAGTGGTGGGCAACGAAAGCAAAAGAGATGGAAAAGGCGGCATCTATAGGGAACACAAGACAGCTCTACAGACTAATAAAAGAAACTGGAATTAGTAAGTCAAGTGTAAGTCAGACTATTTCGGAAGAAGACGACACTCTCATCTGCTCTCAGTCCAGACGTTTAGAACGATGGGCGGAACATTTCAGAGAACAATTCAGCTGGCCTTCAGCTACTCTACAACTACCCTCCATTCCCAGACAATGTGAATGGAACATTGAAGTAGGTCCCCCAACTCTAGCAGAAGTTTAAAAGGCTATAGTTAATTTGAAACAAGGAAGGGCAGCTGGTCTAGATGGATTGGCTTCAGAGGTCTTTAAGGATGGTGGTCCAATTTTAGCGAAAAGGTTGACTGATATTTTAGCTAAGATCTGGGAATTAGACGTTATCCTATCTGATTGGTCGCAATCAATTATCGTCCCAATATATAAAAGAGGGTTTAAATCATCCTGTGACAACCATATAGGGATTAGTTTAACTAATATAGTATCTAAAATACTAGCCTCGATAATTATCAGACGCCTAACTAAAACTCGTGAACTGCAAACACGAGAAAATCAAGCTGGCTTCAGACCTGGTCGTGGCTGCATCGACCACATATTCACCATTCGTCAGGTTCTAGAACACAGGCATACTTGTCGGCATCCGACGATGGTGGTCTTTCTTGACTTAAAAGCAGCATTTGACTCTGTAGACCGCGAGATTCTGTGGCAGTGTCAGTCATTAAAAGGCGTACCTCAGAAGTACATAAACCTTGTAAAGGCTCTTTACTCGAACACTACCAGTTGAGTCAAAGCTTATGGCGAACTGTCATCTGCTTTTGCAACCTCAAGTGGTGTTCGTCAAGGCTGTCCACTTTCTCCATTTTTGTTTAACTTCATCATAGACCTATTGATGGAAATAACATTCTCGTCGACTGAATTCTCGGGTATTGATCTCCTTCCAGGAGGTCCACTTATCGACTTAGAATACGCAGATGACATAGTCCTGTTTGGTGAAGACGCTGATAAAATGCAGAGTCTTCTGGTAGCACTAAGCAACAATGCCAGAATGTTTGGAATGCGCTTCTCTCCCTCTAAATGCAAGTTGTTGCTTCAGGACTGGTCTGCGTCAACACCTGAACTAAGGATAGGGAGTGAAGTAGTCGAACGCGTTGACAACTTCACTTATCTTGGAAGTCTAATCAGCCCTAATGGGTTGGTATCGGACGAAATCTCAGCACGGATTCGAAAAGCTCGTTTGGCTTTTGCCCACTTACGTCACCTTTGACGAAGGAGAGATATCCGTCTATCAATAAAAGGACGAGTATATTGCGCGGCAGTCCGTTCTGTCTTACTTTACGGCAGCGAAACATGGCCTTTAAGAGTAGAAGACACTCGTAAGCTACTAGTATTTGACCACAGATGTCTTAGAAATATTGCTGGCGTCTGTTGGGATCACCGGGTAAGTAATAGTGAGGTTAGACACAGGGTATTAGGTAATGATGGTAAATCAGTTGATGAGGTTGTTAATCTTCATCGACCGAGATGGTTGGGCCATGTGTTACGTATGCCTGAACACCGATTACCACGTCGTGCAATGCTAAGCGGTGTTCGGGATGGTTGGAAGAAAGTTAGGGGCGGTCAAACCAAAACGTGGAATCAGTGCTTGAGGTCACTAACTTGTAGTCTGAGCCATGTTGGGAGATGCAGACTACTTGGTTGGGGTCTGCGTGACTATCGTAACCAATGGTTGGAGACTCTTGGTGAAATGGCTCATAATCGATCACAATAGCGTAGGTGTATATACTCTTTGTCTTCCCTCAAACTAAGAGATTAAAATCGCTTCATATCTTTCTTTCTACGAACTAATTCTTTCTTCCTGTACTATATCCTTATTGCAATCTTTCTTTTATATAGTACCACCACTGACTTAACTACTTTTATGAATCCGGTGTCCATCTTGTTATGTTATTGAGGTATGGTAACTTAGACCGATGTATATATGTGCCTGGTCCTACGTTGTAGCTGACTGACTGACATGCAGGTGGAGTTGAAAAAGTTTAAATATACTCCATCGCTTAGCTCAACCACAAGGATAACGAATTTAAAATTTAAAAAATAGTGCAGTGACTTCATGAATCGAAATAAACACATTAGTGTTTAGAATAACCAATCTGTTATTTTTTTAAAAATAAAAAAGTTTCGTTCCTTCAACTTCTTAATAGTTACTCAAAACCCTTAAGATCCAAAATTAGCTATAGTTTACAGTTAATAGTAAGAAATTGAATAAGTTTATGATTCAAGTGACTTCCAAAACAATTCAAAAAATATATAAATACATATTTCCCAGTATGTCGTATTTCAAAAATAATTGCAAATCAGTGGGATCCATTTGATAGTGACAAAGAATCATAGACTATATAAAAATATGGTTATAGTACAAGTTACTTTGTATCATTGTTTCCAGGATGCAATAAAAGGCTGACTTCGTGGTTTAATCAATAGACTTTCAACCCAATTGAGTTACAGGTCCAAACTTCTAACCTGGGTAGTATCATCACTACCCACCAAACAATCAAAGTGGTTTAAAACTGGGTAAAGGAAGCTGTGCTTCGTTACAGAGTAGAATCACAAAGTTTTTACTATGGTTATTATTTGAAAGTGTGTTAAATGGAGTAGTCACAAAAACAGGAACATATCAAACATTTATATAAGTGGTTAAAAGGTTGAGATTAACTTTTTGATTACGATCAATTAATTGGTGATTAAAGAATGGTGATCTTCACCTGGTTACTAATTCATTATGCTCCGGTGATTGACTTGTTTTTTCAATAACAAACAAAGTGATAAATGCTCTTACCTGGTTAAACAATTCAGAATATTCAACAAAAGAGGAGCAACCATTTTGATGATTGAGTAAATAAGACGCATTTTTTTCTTCTGAATGTACAGCAGTTTTGATTGTTTTGTCAATTTGTTTTAAAGCATGACGAAGTTGTACCAAACCAGAGGTACATCGACCAGTGCGATGATGAATCAATGAAAGATTATTCTTTAAAATAACAGACTCCCAATCATGCATAGCAGTTGAATTATAAGAAGGTGGTGGCATAGAAATAAGCAATTTGACGGCATCACTATACTGACCCTGTGAAACGGATAAATATGCGTAAAAACAGTCATCACAAGTGATGAACAGTTTATTTATTTACTAGCACACGGTAAGAACTTAATAATAAACGGAAAAAAGATCGCAGTAAATATAAGCGTAAATATACACACCTCTTGATCTATTAGAGAGAAAATTAAATAAAGCATGGTATTACATTTGAAGTTTATAACTACAGATTTGAGCAACACAAAGAGGACATGCTCAGTTTGAAAAGTGAAACTGGTGTTTGAAGACTTGAGGTATCATAGTCGAAATTAGTTTCATTGAAGAATATAAATCAGCTTTACATCATCTTTTAAAATCTTGACACTGAAATGCCATGGATCTTTTTTAAATTTCGTTCGGTTTCTTTTAGTTGGTTATCACTACTCGTGTAATTTGTATATTGAATTCAATTATTTTCTTGATGTTCCAGATGTGTGTTAATTGAAATTAATTGACATATTGAACCAATGTACAACTGCGCTAGTTACAAAATATTACTCAGCAGTGTGTTGGTTCAATTTACCGCATCTCACAACAAAAGAACTAAACGAGGAGATTAACAAAGCAAAACACGAAAGGATGAAAATAGTGATATGAATTACCATGGGGAAATGAATATTCTAGAACGAAGAGTACGGGACAATAATGAGAGATTTAGATGAATAAAAGAAATTGTACCACGGAGGACGATTCCGAAACATATCACCTAAAGTTTATCTGTGTATGTAACTTAATAACTACGCGAACATTTTAGAACACTAGCTTTTAATCACGTATACATAAAGGTTAACGATACTAGATGAATCCCTAAATTGAAATCATTCATTGATGAAGAGTTCAGTGTATAAACAACGAATTTACACAATTTTCAATTCGAAACACTTTGTTTATTTAATACGTTTACACGTATTTCCGGTATAATGTGAGTTTGATACCAAGTGTATACATTTATATACTTGAGGCATGGTTTTATATGAGAGCTAATGATACATTCACAGTTATCCATGCATAGATGTATTATAAGGGATATTAGTATCTGTTGAATTAAATACATTGTGAACTACTGGTTAATTAGTCATAAGTAATGTAGTACCGGGAATAAGTGTATCTGTCCAAGTTGCCATAACATAACACAGCGGAATTAAATTTTCAAGACAAATACTAAAGTAGCAGAAGTAGTAACATGAACAATAGCAACAGAAAAGAATAGACATACACAATGTTATTCAAGAGGTGAGAATAGATTCATGGAATAAAAGGCGAGATAATTTTGGAACTTAAGATCTAAGGAAAGACAAAGAATGAATGACTCTACGTCATCGCAAATGATTTTGAACCATGTCACTTAACATCTTCAAACACTAGCTATCACAATCTTACAGAACACATATGAGCAGCATGGATCTACCTATATAGCCCAGACCAACAATAAATGATTGGATAGACTGATATAACGTTTTGGTTTGGGCGCCCCTAACTTCCTTTCAGTCTATTGTTAAACTAGCTAACATTGAGCGTCACGGTAAAGGGTAGTTGGACGTGCTTTGTGGTGTAGGATTAAGTTGGAAGAAAGCTGGAGGCGGTCAGATCAAAACATGGAACAAATCCATGAGGTCACTGACATGTGAACTGAACAATGTCGGTAGGTGTAGACTGCCTGGTTGGGATCCGCGTGACGATAGCAACCGATAGCTATAGACCTTGAATGACATGGCTCAAAATCGTTTGCAATGGTGCAGGTGCATCCACTCTTTGTGTTCTCCCAAATTCTAATCTTCTGAATTATTCATATCCCTTTTTTCTCTTTCCAAATTTATTTCAGTGGATTATAGTCCTTGAATAACATCTTCAAACCCTTAATGTTTCCGATTACTGCTTATACTTTTACTACCTCTACCACTGTGGGATTTGAATTGACAATTGTATCTCTGTGCTAATGTGTTATGGCAACTCGAACTAATGTACGTACGTACAAAGTTCTACGTTCTTACTAACTGAGTGACTGATGTTTTAACCATCTATCTCATTCGATGAAGATCCATAGTCTCATTAACTGATTTGGACTTTTACTTGTTAACTTTGACATTACTCATTCAACGGTTTCAACATAAATGAGCAATCCTCTGAAGGAACCTATCATTGAACACTGGAAACCTTTTTTGCCTAAAGGTTACAGTCCACAGTCATAAAGTCAGATAGAACGAATTGCTGAATAGAATATTCAACGTTTGGTTGGGATAGGTACATCTTTTACTACTGATATCCTTAACAGTAAACATTCATGAAACGACTGAAGGGAATAAATTTACTACCAAATAACATTTTATGAAGATTTCTAATGTTCGATAAAATTATGTGTTAAACACCAGGTATAAATATGAGTTAATATACTAAGTTTTAGGTATACTTATTACATAAAGTAATAAAAACGATTGTTTTTTCCGTTTGACAGACCTATAGACCCATAGATAAATATGCCAAACAACGATGAATAGGTTGAGATTTAGGAGAAATTTTATCAAGCTTGTCACCGCACATAAAAAAATGGTAAACATCAATGAAGCCAATTTCAAAAAGATATTTGTGTACACTTTCCTGAGTTAGCCGTGAAAAATAAATCTTTTTAGACTTGTAAAAACAAATTAAAAGAAATCAGTCGTGCATATTTTGAAAACGATGCGTATCATCAGTGGACAGGATATTAATAATGATGATAACTGCAGTTATTTATATGTAGGAGAAAATGATTAGAAAGACTAATAATACAGACTATCAAATTTATCAGTCATCATAAAATAGGCAAACAGAAACTGTTGAGCAATGTAACAAATAGTGATTTTATTAAAAACAAAGCCAAATAAATTCAAGCAATTTAACTGTAACAAGTGAAATTATTTCATAATTAGTACTAACTATATTTATATACCCAATGATATATCATAGAACAGATAATTAAATCAACTGCTATTTAAAATATCATTTAGGCGGACTAATATTCCAGTAAAAGGAGAGATTAATATTACTCAGAGCTAATATTGTCGAATGTTAGTAAGGATTTAAAAATTATATAAGTTGCTACAACTGTCAGAGTAAAGATTTCTAGTGCATTGAAAGCACGGTGTTGGCAGAACACTTGGAGACCAGACGAGAATACAGTTTAGATGGCAGAACATACCTAAAGATGCAAATGGAAGATTGGTGATATATAATGTATTATATGAACACTTCGTAACTTGTAATAAACATATTTTTCCTGCCTATTGTCGTGTTTTACAATGGCAGATTAATTTTATAAATGTCTCTTATCCAGTGGTTTGACGGTAACATAGGGACAAACATGAATATTCTAATTCGAAACGATGTTGAAAGGTTTCAGAGCTGGTGGGTCAATACATATTATCGTGGGTTTTTTGAAATTCGGTGATTCATTACCTAATATTTATAGGTGGCTCTATTTAACAGCAAAGTCAACAGCGTGGAACTTTGTACGTACGTACATCAGTTCGAGTTGCCAATAACACACTAGCACAGAGATACAATTGTCAATTCAAATCCCACAGTGGTAGAGGTAGTAAAAGTATAAGCAGTAATCGGAAACATTAAGGGTTTGAAGATGTTATTCAAGGACTATAATCCACTGAAATAAATTTGGAAAGAGAAAAAAGGGATATGAATAATTCAGAAGATTAGAATTTGGGAGAACACAAAGAGTGGATGCACCTGCACCATTGCAAACGATTTTGAGCCGTGTCATTCAGTTTAGTAGTAAAAGTGCTACAAAAAGATAATATGATTGTATTATATACATTTGAATTATTAAACAGTAGTATTAGTACAGAAAAAAGTGAATAGGAAATGTAACAAACCTTTAAAAAAGCTAGCTGAGCTTGAAGGAAATATACAGAATTTCCAGTAGACCACACAATATTAGAACAATGATCAGTGTCAATTTGAGAATCTGAATGTGTGGGATTTTCTGTTTTTTTCTCTTCCAGACAATTTTCACCCACATCGTCAGGCGTAGTTTTGACTTCGGTGGAATTTTCTTCAAAATCAGTATTCTTTTGAAGAGAGTTGTTATTTGATATCGAATAACTTTCTGATATGAATATGTTTAATTCGGATTCAGCTTCATTTAAACGTCCTGTTAGCAAACATGCTCGAATGTAGTAAAGTTGTATTGGTTTTTGAATCCCAATTAACATAGACAATGCATTACTACTGAGATTATGTGAATGACAGCTGGTATTTTCAGATGGAGAAGTTAGTGGCTGGGGATTCGATGACAGGCTGGCTGTTTCTGACATAACTGACGCCGTATTAAGACATAAAATCCAGTAGTCTATGAAGACGAAATTTGAAAACCGATATATCACAATATATGATTACTATATCTAGTCATATACAATACATTTAAGTGACACAAAAAGCATCAACTTGACAGAGAACGAAATTCCTAATCTTTTTAGGAGTGCCGATAGCAATCCTGATTACACCATATATATGAATGGAAATTGTTGTTCACTCAAAATAAACTGAGAGAACTGTGAAGCCTACATTGGACAATAAATATATTAAACTTCACCATTAAATTTGTTATCAGTGCGTAACTTCTCCAGTCTTAGCTAAAGCATGAGAGAATACATGTACTCCCAAACTATTGATTGACACTTAAGTGAATAAATCAAGCTTTATATAGACATTCTGGTTTAAACTATCCTATTACTGGGTAAAGCTAATATTCAGTATAAAACGAATACTTATCGATATGATAACAGGACAAAATGATTACGTTACGCTAGTTTTAGCGTTATACTGGAGTAACACATTGACATGAGAAAAAGTGGAGAAAAATCAAACACGTAAAAAGGGCAATGCCAACTGAAATAAGGAAAACGAAATGATAAGAGATAAAAACAGTATTGTGTATAGATCCCAGTACACAGAAAGCCGATTGGTGTAACTCAGTGACTAACTATATGCTTTATATAACATTTATCTGTTAAAATAATAGTCTATAAAACAGAATTTGAACCAGTAACAAACTGATAAGTAAATTCACGCTTAGTATTATTGATTTTTCTACATATCAAAGCAAAAAGTTAAGTACCGTGACATAATTGCACTAAATTCCATCAAATACTTTTGAGAAGACAAGACAGACTCGAATGAATGGAGTTAGAAATATATATCTGAACACAAGACTGTTGAAAATTAAAGGAAAAATAAGTGTATTGGCACCAAAAAACAGTGCTGCATAAGGTCATAAAAGAAGCCATAGAATTAAGGTGTAGAACTAGAGAAAGCCAACAGGTCATCTTCATGTCACACAGGATTGTTAAATAAAAAACGTCATAATAGTAAAAACTATACAAATTTATATACATAAATCCTACCGCTTACCACAAAGTTCAAAAACACGCTCCATCCGAAACAACTTTAAAGAAACTTCCAACCAAAGAAGCACGATACGTCGACATAGGTCAGTATCGTTTGATGGTGTAAGGTCTATTGTTTGTATCAAAGTAGAAGATTGATCAATGCACGTCGGAGACTGGAAGTTTAATTGAGTCTCATTTAGGTGCAATGTCTTACTACATGCGTATTCCAAGTTTGATGGGATACCAAGGCAGTTAGCAAGAAGTTTTTCAGCCTGAGCATACTGATGTTGATAAAATAATACAACAGCGTAGTTGTACAGTAAGTTTATCATAACAGAAGATCTCGATACAAACTGAGGTGCAGTATTCGGCAACAGATCTTTAGAAGTATGAGGTTCATCTGAACGACCTGAATTATGTCTACTTAAGACTGTTTTATTAATATAGTCGTCAAGATTCATTCCTTCAACAGTTGCGATTCTTTTCAGATCAGAAATATATTGATCGCTCTGCGAATAACGTGAATTATATACATACGATAATAGTGCCTTATTTATCTTTACCTGTGATGAAGAAAACAATAATGTATGATTATGTCCAAGTAAGATGTGTAAGATATGGAACTAATTAACATGACTGTAAACTGACTAAACTAAACATTTAATCGCCAGACGATATGATAGATAAAACGGGTGTACAGCACGAAACTAAAAAACAAAATTCTTAAGAGCCTATTTATGAAACACCAAACATCTTGTATGATTAAATGTGGAGATAGCCTACTCTGCGATTTTAATCATTATTAAAATACATACTATTTATCACAGAGGTCTTATTTGCATATCCCAAACGGTTTGATAATACACGATATTTGACAGAAATAACTTAAGTTAAGATAAATGCAAATCAAGGAAATAGGAACTTAGAATTCCAACCACAGAATGGAAATTCAGCATTTCCTTGCCGCCCTACAAGGAAACAGCTTAAAACGGCCTCTTATAGTTGGTTCACCTGACTAGTATTCCACAAATCATTTCAAATAACAGTGGGATTGGGATTATCACGCTAAACACAATATTGAACACATTTGATATAAAACCAGAAACATCTTTCTTTCAATTTTATTTAGCCCATTAAACCGTTTTCGTTCTTGATCTCTTCTATTTTTTTCGTTTATAATTACTGGAGATTTTGTTTACTTTAACCATTCTGGATTGTTTTATAGCCGCGTCTTTAGATCCTTTTATTAATGAACTAAGTCAACCAGTAGGAAGTTATTCGCTGTTTAACATTGTATTATCCCAACGCAGAAGATAAATTGAACCACTATTGCGTAACTCGGTTATAAAATTAAAAAATATATAATGATATAGGACACTTTATCATGATGCTTTTAGGTTATATGACAGTATTTTCATTGAAAACAAGCAGGCATATTATTTTTAGTGTACTGTTGTACTTTTGCTTATTATTCTGGTTGGGTGAGTGCCTTCTTTTTTGTCCTTCATTGAGAGACATTTTGATTACGGTCGCTTCTTCGTATTATTATTAATCCATCTTTTTAATATTTTGATATTTTACGAGGAATAACACTGTACAAGTTTCGACTTCATTATTATTATTATTTGTTGTATGTTGCGAAAGGAGTTGAACTTACTTTTGTATCATCGTGCTTTCGGCTTTTCAGTTTCTCCATGATAGAAAGGCATTGTTCAAAATCTTTACGTCTGTAGCACGAAGCTGCCTCGGAAATCAATCGTTTGTGTTCTGCAACTTCTTCCGACATTAAGATTTGAATGTGTGATCAGAAGTCGAAATATTTTCAAAGTATGTTAATCAATGAGAAACTAGAATTGTTGAGGGTTAAAAAATGCCCAGAATAAGCCTCAAAAGTAATTTCTGAATACAAAAAGGCAAAAAAAATTGGATTGATGTTGTCTCGGACTAACCTATGGACACTACGATTACTGCGACACGACAGAGTTAAGTCGAAGGGTCAAGAAGTGTTTATAACTGCCATATGCCAAATCTTCTAAGTGGATGAAAAATATCACAGTGCTAAATTTTAGTAAATATCTAGGGTTGGCTACTAAGCATATTGGAGTTGAAGTTAGTTGTTCCTATTTGCAACGAACTACTATTAAGAAAATACATATTTACAGCCACACAACTATCTCCTGATATTTGAAGCCCCTCAAGTCCAGCTAACTAACCCGAGAATATTAAAGCATTTATATTAGCACTTGATATTATCCTGGAAATTATTACTACAAGTTTAGCTAGAGTAGCCATCAACATTCTTAAGATTATAAACAAGAAGCTACCTTCACGCCTATCGAAATGTATCGCGGGTTTATGAGACGGTGTTACTGCCTTGGTAACTTTTGTAGCACGGAAAATGTGTTCCGAAAGGTCATAGGCTACACATTAGTGTGGGATTCATTAACTTCAAGAAAACCGTTGATAAGGTTTTATAAAGCGGGAGGCAATGTAAGCTAAATAACAATCCAGTCTACTTCCAAGGATAAAAAAACAGATAGTTGGAAGGGATAAAGAAATCACTGGTAAGCTCCAAACTACTTAGGAGGAAATTAGTGCTAAGTGAAGTACCTGATTAGTTTTCAGATCAATACGTTGATTGTTGATACATGAATCTCTTAGTTTTGTTGCCACCAGGCTTTTAGTCATGTCGACGCTTTTGACTTTGTATACAGTGTTTGTATGCCCTGAACTTGAGTGCTGCGTATAAGAGGCTAGCCCCTGCTTAAAAAAGACAGTGAGCTTTTGGAAAAGGTTCAGAGAACGGCAACTAAGCTGATTACCGGAATAGCGAAGCTTCTGTATGAAGCTCGACTGGCCAAGCTGAACCTTTTCCCGTTGTCATATCGCAGAACTAGAGGCGACTTGATTAGTTTTCAAATTGCTTAGTGCCAATTTCGCACCTGATATGCCCTCATTTTTCTTGTTTTCCAAAACAGAGAATTTACGAAGACACTCCAAAAAAGTTCACAAGCCCAGAACAAATTACTTGTCAGCTGACTATCAACTTTCTCATCGAATTATCAACTAGTGGAATTCATTACCTCAGCACGTGGTTGAGGCTCCATTCATCGACTCTTTCAAAAGAAAGTTGGATCAACTGAGAGACCACCATTGCCAGAACTAACACAGGCCATCAAGCCTCCTGTCCTTCCCAAACTGAAACCGAAACAGTTTTGATGTATACAGGAGACAGTAAGGTATAGGGGTGTCATGAAGTTAATATGGTACAAATAAACTGAAGAAGACCTAAATGCATTCACTGGATCGGCCAACATTTAGCAAAAGTGGAAGTGCTATGAGGTGCGTAGTGATAAATGTCGGTTATCAAAGCATGAATAAATATGTTTTACATGATAAAACTACCTGTTATTTAGACTCATCGACATGCAGTACATTGTCTGACATTGGATGTGAAGCGCTAGAATGGGAGACGTTGAGGGTGTTCCACTAACTAGGTGGTCAAGCGTTTACAGTACTATATACAGTATTTCATCACTTACAACAGAAGGATTTGATACAAGCAACTAATGCATGTCCAAAGAAAGATGTGAGCTACTTAAAATATTACAAAATTGATTTGTAAGCAGTTGTATAATGCTAAGATTGCTAAAATACATATAGATGTTGGTGAATATTCGACTGTCCCTTTCAGAATATTTAACAGTGATTTTAAATATGACAGTTCCTTATTTTCTTGCCCTTCAGGTAATCAAATGTGCCAGAGTGTACGTAGATGAGTTCACATTGCCAGAAATTTATGTTTCAGCTGACTATCGAGCAGCCAACAAAAACACCTGGCCCCAAGAATATGATAAGTCCCTATTTAAACCACTGAAATGATTATATGAACCACATTAATACACCCTCGAGACTAACGCACTGTTTTTAACCCACTGTTCTTATCATTTAAACATACCACATCGACTAGGTAGATCAGTTTTTAATTCATATACAACTTAGTAAAATGAAAATAAGGCTTAAGTTGAAGGTCGATAAGAAAGTTTAAATGAGGATATTGAGCGACTTCAGAACATGATCAACACTTACAAACATATACTTTGACACTTACATCATGAAATTCACAATGATATTGTGAAAGAGTAAGACCAGATGCGTGCACTACTTCAGTAGTGGTTTATGTCTAGCATGAAGGCACTGTAGACACAAGAGAATACAGGAAAATATGTGTAGGGGGAGCTAAAAAAGAGAGGAGAAAAAGGCGAGCTAGTGACTTTATGAATAAACAAAATGTACTTAGATTTGATATATAAATTATATGATAGAAGCAATCGTTAACAATCAGTGGTAATGTGTGACTAAGACAGTTGGACAATCACAACGAGGAGTGCCAGAATAAGGTCTAAACCTTGTCATATTTTTACTATTCAAATGGCTGGTAAAAAACGGTAAGATAAAGAAATCGCCAGATGCACATAATTTAACGAAAGTACTAGTGGTCGTTTGATAGGCTAGCAATGTGTGTCATTCCCAGGAAACAGACTGAGTCGCGAGACTATAATTTAAGGACGAATTAATCAGGTATAGGATAACAGGTCTCGGATTTTGGCGCGAAATTTACTCATCCGTTTGGCTAAATAGGGTTTTGGCATTACAGCTGGTGCTAGTTCATGATGAAAACCTTAAATTTGACTCATGACTCTAACCATCAACTTTATATTATGATTCCAATTCCTCACAATGGTCTATATCCCTCATTTGGTCCGAGTTATTAGGCGGACACTCACACCCACAGACAAAACAACCTTGACGAACTGAATAGTCCGCCATCAAAACTTCCTACACTCAGTAATTTTCTCGTGGGCTTGTATTAACCAGTTGAATTCTTTGTGTTCGCTTCTTATTATTTAGGAATAGTTCGAAGTATATGACTATGTTATGTGGGTGGTATTATGGCTACTCGACTACACTAATTCTAGACATTTAAGTGGTTCAAATGGTTCAGATGGTTTTGTACGTAACAGAAGAAGCTTTCGCTTAATGAGCTTCCGTGACTAGAAGCAGTGGATCACCAATACCTTCAGGAAGGAACGTAGGTATATTAACGATAATAGAGGGAAAAGAAATTGATAAATGATAGTACGATACGATCCTTATTCCTTAGGAATATGTCACGTTTTCTCTCAAAAGACTCCTGGGGAGCTGCTTGGACTAGCTCAGCCGGCATCATTTGACCCCTCATAAAGAGTAGAAGGTGGTTCTATATTCCTTTCTTTTGTGTTGTTTCCCCAGTCTCTAGGTGATATACCTTAGATTTGTGTCTGCACTACGCTTAAGTTACTTACTTACTTACGCCTGTTACTCTTAATGGAACATAGGCCGCAGACCAGTATTCTCTAATTCACTCTGTCCTGGGCCTTCTTTTCTAGTTTCATCCGATTCTTGTTCATTTTTCCCATGTCTATTTCCATTTTCCGGCGTAATGTGTTCTTTGGTCTTCTTCTTTTCCTTTGGCATTGAGGGCTACGCTTAAGTAGTTGTCTAGAAGTACATAAGATGTTGTAAGCCATTAAGAAGTCACCTCTGAGGTACCCGTACGCTAAGGGGTAAGGGTTCAGTGATTGTGCGCTTTCTCTATAAGGCTTGAATTCGAGTCCTCGAACTGTGTTCAAGGCTCATCGCTGCATGCGTCTTTATCCTTTTGGAGTGAGGAAAGAGATACCATGTTTCCGTACTCTAAGTGGTGACGGATAAAACTGTTGAAAATCAGATGGAATGTTCTTCCGCCAGATTGACTAAGAATTGACTTCAATGTTACCAGTACAGGGTTTGCTCGAAAGGTATTTTTATCACATTTAGTGTAAGATTTGAAATCGTAGGAGACGATGGGGTGAGGATTTCTATGGAGAGTGTAAGCAAATTGTGTCAAACGAAGCAAAATGTTCAAGAAACATTATCTCAACGAGTTAAATTTTAACCCACTGTCTGCTGCTCATTCCTGCATTGTTTTAAGGTCCTTCTGAGGTTAAGATGAATCCATTGTACTTTTTGTGGTCCCCCATATCTGTCAGTCATCTGCGAAGATTAGTGCTACTGGGCTGTTGTCATCTAACTAATCCCTAATAAAGATTGAAAATGGAGATGGATCTAAGACAGTGTCCTGGCGAGACTCCTGACGTAGAGACCTGCCAGCTCACGTGCACTTTGTTTACCGTAGTATGAAGCATCCTGTTCTTTGGTTACTTTCGGAGCCGGGATAAAGATGAGTCAATGAAGCTTATCCTTGCAAACTTTACTTTTATGATGCCGCAAAACATGACTGTGTTATAGTTGTCACTTCTTATCTGTATGTGGACATGAGCATCCTTAACTGGAAGCTGACCAATTGTCGGTAAGTAATCTAAGTTTTGTGTTTTTCCGTTCCTGTACAATCTCATGGCACTGTTAACACGTCCAACGACTGTAGCCAGCAGTTACGGAACCGCCTCGAAGAGGTTAATGTTTCGACTGTTTTTGGCACTCCTTGACCCAAAAACATAATCATAACTTATTCTCAAATAATGTGTTGCACTAGACATGCCAGTTTTAGTGGCAGGATCAAAACATTTACACGCCAGTTTATAACGATTTTTCGACGACCTGATAAATAGAAGTATTATCAATATAAGTGGTAAAATTATCAAAGGGAACACTATCGATTAATTTGTTCACAATTATTGAATGGATACTGTCTATATTTACCTATTATCAATATACTTGTCGTCGTTAACCGTGACTGTTGCTATCTAACGTACATTTTATTGGTATGTATATTTTTCATCTTTATACCACACGATCTATAACCGTGCTGTTTCCATTGGTGCTCTGGAGACAATTTTTCTCTGGCCACGAATTGACGAGGCCAGAGAAGTCACTAGCAAGCAAAAGAGACATTCGAACCTACCTCAATACAAGGAACGACTCTCTCAAATTTCACCGACATGAGTCCATCGTCCCACACCTTGGTTCCAGTTCATGCTCATCTCGAGAACTATCTAAAATTTTACTTTCTAACCGGCATGCAGACCTCGCATTCTATCATAGGGTGAAGAAAACTTCTCGAGTTAGAATGTATAACGCATCACTATTTCATTCATGTTTGTAGTCTGTCACCGATGATGACTAGGTGAAATTATAGTGATCGAGTTTCACACCCACAACTATCGATTAAATGCTGACTCGAATAATCAAAATCACTGATTAACTTTTGCGTAGAAATAAATATGTAGTCTCAGGTAGCCAGTGAAATAAAGATGAGACGACCAATCATCATTTGTAGACCAAGTGCTGCAGATCGTACATAGACGGTGACTAACTAATATTGGAGGAAGATTTAAATTCACGATTTCAATATTACTTTGTATTAGTAAATTTTTGACTTGAAAGCACACAGTTCAAAACCGACGCAGTGTTTTATTCCTAAGTATGAAATGAATTTTAAGCAGTTGTTTTGCGCATTGTCATTATGTAAACACAAACAATCTCACATTTGAAATTTCGGATGTTATCCGAAGGTCGCAGTTCTGATATAAATGATACTTTCTCATACTCAAACGACTCATCAAACACGATTGAATATAATCCAGGTTGGTTTCTAGCCACTGTTTTAATCTCTAAAAATTTTGATGTGCTTCCAATAAATCAAGATCATTGCATTGTCCTTGAATATCATCTGATGACCCCGTGTAGTCATCTCGCGAGTTTTACCTATATATATATATATATATATATATATTATCAAATGCTAAATAAGTCATATAAATCACTGGAATTTATGTATAGTAGTACAGAGTGTAGGTGTTTTGGTCTTGATAAGTTCGTCATTTGTTTACGATTAACTTTGAGCTTTTAATAATTCAAAAATCCTATCGCATTGAAGCTCTTTATGTATGTATCAAATAAGATCGACGTTTTTGAGACCAAGTGGGGTTTGCAAGGGATTTTTTTTCGGGGATGGCACAAAATCTAGGTACGATACCAACTCCATAAAATGAAAAAAGTTCGAAAGTGATTTGATGAATGTTTTTCTACGAAAATAATAAATTTGATTATATGTTAAAAGGTAGAAACCTATATATTGAAGCAATTAATGGGCAGAGAGTGCGAAAATATTTGTGGTGTCAATATCTAGGTGTTATTCTTATTGACCATATAAAAATAGCAAAAGTGGTTGAAGCACATATGTAATGTTTTTTTTTTTTGCAAGAAGTGTAAGTTGTCGATAACGTCATAGTGCGGAATATGGCGACATTGATAATATGGGTTTCTAAGCGCTTTATCTTGATAACATGTATATAACCAGTGGATTGTTTATGAAAAAACCCAGTATAAGTCAGAATAAAATTGTGCACCTAAACTATTGCAGATGTAGTAGACAAAAGAACTGCTTAACTAGCCACTTAAGGTAGAATGAAAGTCTTGCGTTTAAGGCAAGTACACAGACAATAGTGTATCAACTTGACCTATGTAATCTCAGGCCATAGAGATAATTCAAACTAACAAAGTAAAAATAAAATGTTTAAGACTCACCCATTTTTAGTTTGGATGATAAGTTAATGATTGAATTCCAATGTTTTAAAATGTACTCACTTTTCACGGTGTTCGAACAAGTAGAATTACTAACTATTGTTTTTGTTTATAAATACTTATCTCGTCCTTTCTAGCAGATTTGTTAAGTTGTCATTAAGAGGCAGAGTAAACTATAAGGTCTCTGGCAATAGGTGGTTGCCACAACATTAAGAGACCAAATTATTTTTAGAGTGCAAATCAGTATCAGATTATGAATTTCAATCAGTTTTGATTACTGCAGTTCACAAAAGACATATCCTAGTTATACATGTCCAGTAGTAATGTTAACGAAAAGAAAGTTCCGCTTGGAAAATAATTTAACAAAGTGTTTTTGCGGTAACACAACAGTCCATGAACTATATATGCGGTGTTTGGTTGGAAAGTCTGAAATTATTATATACGTTTCATATTATACAAAAGAAATAGTACCTAGTCATTGATTATTATCTTATTGGTTTTTTATAAGGTGCTGTTTATTTCCACTGATTTTTCCCATGTTTTACAGAAGTCGATAACAGTAGCAGAGATAAAGATTTGCAGAATAATGAAACACAAATTAGCAGTGAATCTAATGGACGTCTTGATTCAATGTATTTACATCCCAAACAATATATGACAGGAATATGTGATTATTCCCATGAACTTATTGATCTTGATAAGATAAAGCATGAAAAACTCTTTTCTGACACTAAGCTAAGTGATATAAATACAATCTATGATCACGCCGCATCAAAACTTAAAGAAAATTTGACTGTGAGTTATTTTTTCAATTAAGCATAAAGGTTGATGTTGATTGTTGAATTTTCAACCTAATTACCTTATTTTAGGAAGCCCTCAGCCAACGAATTATAAAATAATTTACTACTTTGTTTACATAACAATGATGTTTATTGTGAAACTTAACTAGATAAGCAATCGAGTTAAAATATGTTTGGGGTGAATGAAAAGTTATCTATAGCCCATTTCCATAGAACTTGGAAATTTCTTAAAGCTTTTTTTTGGAATTGATTAATACAATAACCTTAGATGATAATGAAACAATCATTTTGATTATAGTTTTCTGTGGTACTATAACTAAATTTCCAGAATCAGCTTCTTGATGGTAATACTTTTTTCAAGCTCAAAGATTGCTTCAGTTCTTTTAGTAATCACTTCTGTACTTTTCAAGTAAAAAAATTTACTCAGTCGTTTTATGGTAATAAAACCTATTTTGAAAGGCTAAGACTTACAACTGTTTACTGTTCAGGTAGTTATTCACCGCAATTTAAGGGAATACAAAACCAACTGTTGTTTATAAAGTACAGTTTTTAGTACAGTAATTGTAGTTTCTCAAATGATTTATGCATTTAATAGATCTAATGTTGGTCGTTATCAGTATGATTATCAGTTTACGTTTATGAAAGTAATAATGCTGATAACGTGTTATACATTAGAACTAAATCTTAAATAATTATATAATAGAACAATTTATCTATGTAAGACGATTTTTCGTAAATCAATAGTACTAACAGAGTCTCTCTAATTATTTGGTCGCATCGCTTTGATATTTATAATTGAGGGTTAAAACACTTATTTTCTTTTGTAAAGCCCGGTTACTGTAGAAAGACTTGATGACACATGTTCGACTACTAATGTTTTCAGATTGTCATATGTATTCAGAACAGCTGCTAAATATGTATTGTATAGTCTAGGTTTATATGTTTAAGTAGTGAATACACTTGTCTACGAATTTGTAAGCCACATGCTCATTGTGAGGGGTAAAGGGTTTTATATCGAATCATTCCACCACTCAAATCAATAATGGTCTCTGAAATGACTGTATTAGTAACTTTTCAGACAATCAGGGCAAAACGTGTGCGAGGTAAGCCGTAATATAAATTGATAACTGAAAATCTTTGGCGATAAAATTCGAAATCAACAAAACAGAGAAGTTACATTTTCTCACTGTAATTCCTTGAATATCAAGTAATTTAGCGTTCAAAATTTAATTGCCATAAGTAGCATTTTTATTTATTTAAAATTTATTTTGAAATGTTTTATGATTTCATAGTCTTGTTTCACTAGTAAGTTTTATAACGTAAACATTTGCTTTATTTTGAGAGCTCCTAATTCATTCAACTAGTATTTCTTTTTTCAAGAAACATAGATGCATGTTGATTATTTTTTTATGTTGGTTTATGATACATAAACTAATATTCTTTGAAATGGTTCTAGACAAATATTTAGCATGTATCGAACCTTCAAAATTGTAACGATGGCTTAGGTTTTTGGTGTGTATAAGATATTCTGCATATTGTTTAGGTTTTACAAAACGTGGAAAATCTTTGTACATAGTGTCACCTAACTTTGTCATATCAATGCCAAAGTGGTTCAATAACAGCAAACATGAGTGTTTTAACTCACGTGGTTTGACGATTCTGATTTTTCTATTAACACAAAAAGCTACTTTGTCAATGATGTTATAGTTTGACTTTACTATAATTTTGCACAGTTATTTTGAGGCTGAAATGACTAGAATTTGTTATATAAACGTAAGTATTTTATACCAAATGACTTAATTTTCTTCTATGATTTTTTATATTTGCCATGTTATGCATGAATTTTACGAAACGTCTTTCTATTTATCAGCTTGTAATCTTAAACTACGGTGTAAACGATTTTTCATATTATGTCACATATAATTTTTTGTGTTTTTCACTTAGAGAAAATATCACTGTTGGTTTGTAGATAAAGCGCACATCTTATGCAGATTTCTTAGTCATAATTACAGGTTGATTTCAATTTTATGGGTGAATTTACTTTGATTGATACTGAAAAGTTTCTGTATTTATTTCTCAGCAGTTTTATTATTGGGATTTTGATATTTTAGTTACTTTTTGGTAAGTATAATTGGCCATTCGAAAAACCAAGTTAATTCAATTAGCACAAATGTCTAAATTTTAAATCTAAGCGCAGACAAAGCCAAGTTGTTGTGGTTTGGTATAAAACAGAGTTTTTATTCGTTTACTTTTGAAACGATTTTGTAACAAATAACTATTTCTATGTTACTTATATATGTACCCTTTTCATGAATATCGTGAACTGTGATAGTATATACCGCATTAGATATCTGCAGTTTTACTGGGTCACGCTTAAAATATTGTTCAAGTTAATTGGGAAATCATAAAACAATGACTATACACTAAAAACATGACTGTATCTGTATCGTTCTGAATACAACAAAGCATACTCACTTGTCGATTTAATAGACAAAAGATGAAAAAGTGTACTCATAACAATGTAACAAATACTTCGTGTTTATTGTATATCATATAAAAATATTTATTATCAGTCTTTTAAAATGCTATAGATTTTAGAGAACTTTTTCATTTGAAGAGACTTTAGCTAACAAGGTTTTTTCTATTCCATCCTTAAAATATATGGTTTTTCTATTTCTTTAGTTCAACTGAGGTTTCATCACTAATTAGTTTAACACAAATGTGGTGGGCATTATTTACATTCCACGCGGATTTACAGTCGTTTATTTCTCTCGAAAAATGAGAGCTGTACATTTTATCGGCTGTTATATAGTTGTCTTTTGCTTTAGATCGAGGTAATATTTGTAATTTTGAGGTTAAATTTAGTCTATCTTTCTGACAGGTAGATGACTTTACAAAACCTTCTTTTACTGTTTTTAGGTTCATTATCAATCAGTTCAGGATGAAATCATGTCATCTGTTAAAAGTCTTTTTTCAGTTGAACTAAAACGGTAACACAGTTAAACTGTTTTTCAATGTTTTATGTTATAAATAACCGTGTCATAGATAAGTTTTTTTACATAACTGCAGCAAACAACGGTAAATTAAAATATCAATTATCGACCAAAAACATTGCTTTTATCCAAAGACTTCAGGTTTTAGTTTAATATATAGAAATATTTACAAGCATATATATATATATATATATATATATATATATATATATATATATATATATGAGTTAATGATAACAATAAAATAGATTATATAACCAAATACAATAAGTGAAAAGTATAAACTGATAGTGTGATAACAAGTGTGTTAGTAATGACAAAAATAACAATAGTTCTCAACATAGGAAGTAAGTCAAGGCTTGAAGTAGAGCTTGATGAATACCTAATTGAAAATGATATTTTTCGCTCACATACGTTATTCTAATTTAAAATATGAGAATTTTTAATATTTTGAAATATGAAATATGAAAAAAAAGAGATCAGATCACTGCATGGAGAAATGGTGACTAGAAATATTATAATAGTTTAACTGACAGACAACTGATAAAAACCAGTAAACTGGCAGACGAAAGCTATTAAATTCATGCACGGGAATGAAAATATCAGTAGGTAAGGAACAATTAGATATTAGATAGAACCTTTAATTAAATAAGTAAAGCCTTTGATGTTTAAAAATTACGAATTATTTTCGACATTATATACGATTAATTAAATATCTTATATTTCGGTAAGTACATCAGCTTATTTGATTCAGGTGAAGTAATATTTCGTTCATAAATACAATTACATTACAATACATTATATTTCTGAACCTGCCACTCATTGGTACAAGTATACAGTTTTAATTGTTTTGTAGTCGGTTTCACTGACGTTTATTATATTGAAATTTAATATCACTAGTTTTTACTCAACTCATTGAACAAATAGACATGTTCAGGTAACCTAAAGTGCAAAATATAACAGTGCGTAATGATTTGCTTACATGGAAATATGTTGAATTCCATATATTACTTGGAGTATTCCTATTTTTAAGAAATTATTTATACCGATTAATTTATACGTGATCAATTAATTGACGCTATTTTATATAATGAAAATTATTTATTTATTTGGACACATAAATATTGGCACAAAGGGCACCGAATACATATGCACTACACAAGTCAATTGATTTTCGTTAGGGCTGTGATATTGCCCGTGTGCCCAGACCGAAGTAGGTGGTTTTCTTAGGGAGCCACACACGGAGCCTTTGACCTAAAGGTTTGATCCACAAGGCAGTGAAGCAACGTCAGGAGATGCAGTCCCGTGATGGCCGTTGACCAACAGTAGGTTCATACACCATTTGTCCCTTTAGGATCCTGGGGTTCGCGTGTACCATTGGTTTTGAACCAGGGTTTCCTAACTCCTCTGAGTGGACCCACTGCGTCCACCAACCCGGTTAAAGCGCCGGACATTCGTCTTCCGTCATCTCAACTTCGTAAACTACACTAGTACCGCGAGAAGGTAGTGAGTAAGACTTCCCTGGTAGCGGCTGTATATGCGTGGCCATGTGAAAGCATTTGGAGGAGAGCGGACTCTCCCCACCATCGACCATACCAGGGAATTTGAAGATAATACTGAACATAACCCGTTCTTATTTATGTTACCGAATCATTACGAACCTCAAATATAGCGAGGTGGGGTCATGGATGCGCACTGCTGAGGAGCCCCATACTAGGACAAAACGGCTGTCCAGTGCTTTCAGGTTCTCCATGATGGTCTAGCTTTAATTGACTCATGAATTCAACTATTAAATTATTAAGTTATTAATTAAAACCTGTTATTATTTTCAGTATAAAAAGTGATATGATTAAGCTTCATGAACAAGTGATCAGTTTAAGAGATCTTGCACGTAATCATGAAGGTACAATAGCACGTAAAGAACAGATTATCTGTGATTTAACGGATAATATGAATAAATTAAAAATTCAAATGGAAATAAATATGAAAAAGGAAAATGCTAAAAGAAAGGTAAGTATTGTTCCATCTAAAAAACACTTTTTTTTTATAAACTTATTATGTAATAAAACATTTAATCGATTTTTACGTTTTTTGATCATGAGTGTACGCTTCCTGTTAACTTGTATAAGTACATTCACATGAGCGATAACATTTCAGATTAGATGTTATTTATTGTCTTTTAATCTAGTTGGTAACAAGGACAACAAAATATATTTGGACTTTAATCTAATCCTTTCTTACCATAAAGGTCACACAAGTTTTCATTCTTAAACAATGCACGTATACATACACACAAATTTACATACATATCACTTATGAATCACCTTGACAGAAATGACAAGACATCAACTTGTTCAGACTTGTTTTTGATTGATCCAATATTATTCTTGCATTGCTCCGTTGTACTATTTAAACTTGGATTAATTTTAATTTGGTTATTTATTCTCTGAAGAAGTGACTTACACTAAGTCACGAAACATCAGAAACTCCAATTTTCTACTCATTGGGATATTACAAATATATTATTTTTATTTATAACAATGAACCCAATGCTCAATTTATTCGAAATTATCAAATCAAACCTTGGTAATGACACCTATTATTGGATTTGTTTATTTAGAAAAAGAATTTCAAATGTTATAAAATATTTTCAATTGATGGGATGATAAAATGGAGCAAAAGAAAACAGATATATTATGTATCTCACTTCTTTGTTTTAAATTTTGTATTGACACTTCAAGACGAGATTTCCTTAAATCTGGACTTATAACTATTGACACCAACTTAATCAGTTTTAAGCCTTTGAGGACTATCAATAAGATTTTAAAATGCATTTTAGAGTTAAAGAATTGAAGTGTAAAGTACTGAATATTAAATTTCAGTTCTAGTTGGAAATAATCATCTTAGTCATTATATATACCGTGAATTTCTAGATCCAGTAAGTTAAATGTGTTAAGATGTATTGCGTCAAGTTCACTGATATGACGAATTCTTTGTTCATCAGTCAGAGAAATAAATAATCGATGACATTTAATTAGTAGTACGTTCGACGGTCTTCCAATTAAATGTTAATATATATGTTTTCTATAGCCGAGTCTAACGTGGTACATGAGCGAGAAAGCTAAGAATTAATAAGGAAGTTATATTGGCTATATATATAACCTTTCGACCTTTAATTAAAACCTTGAAAAATTACACAAACGGCTTTAATTATTATCGTGCTCTCTCACATATTTTTTAATGAAGACCTTACTTTATTATATACTGACTAAAGTCGAAAGGTTTAGAGATATTGTGCTATTCTGAAAACCTGAAGATCGACTATTTGAACTCAAATAAGATCATAAGTTCTCTCCGTTGGGTATTTTTGAATTATCACAAATTAGCTATCTAGTCATGCCAGGGTTTTAGCATATTATTGAAGCGTAGTAATTTATATTAAATGATATTAGCAGTGAATTTTCATGTTATTATTGTTTAAATTTCATCTCATTTTGTTAGTAGTCAAGATTGTCACAAATGCCAGATAATCTATGGACGGCTATGTCATACGAAGGCTGTATTCAGACATTTAAATTTTTGTCTACATAATGTATCTTCATTTTCGATATTGTTTTATGGGAAAAATAAACAAAATTCATAGTCTTTATAAGCAAATATCGATGGTGGCTAGTAGCGGAATCTAGTATGCGCGTTATGTCGTATTTGCGACTCCACTGCTAACCATTATCCATATTTTCTTATAATGTTTGTGATTTAAGGCAATATGAAGGCAATCCATACAGGATGCATATATGCTAATAAGTGATCGAACAATCGCAGTTCTAAACAACAATAGGGCGATACAAGCAAACAATACCAAGTGAATTTAAAATTTTATTTATTTTACTTGTTTTCTTTAACTTTCATAATCTAGTCATTTTGTATCAAACTTGCTGATCGTTATTATAAACAAAATATTTTAAAACAAGCAATTATTGGATGGAAACAATTCATGGAATCCTCTTGGAAACAAAGAAATTTTCGACGACTTACTTTGGAAGCTCAGTCTGAATGTATGAAAATTAAACAAGAATTAAATCAAAAAATTCTTCAAGTAAACAATGAACAGATGTATAATCTTATTTAGTTTACTCTAAAAAAATTGTTAGTTTTTATTTTGTTAAATCATAATTATATTTCAAATAGAAACAATAAAGGTTAACTAACTCATTTCACTTATTGATCTCAATAAGTTTCCTTTTGAGTTTTATATGATTGAACAACCATCAATGTTCAGTTGACAATAATACAATCTATCTATCTGCTGTTATTATTATTAATGAATTTATTCAATATTATATTTTTGGTACAATACAGAATTCTCAGAACAAAGTATTTCATCAAGTTTTCTTTCCCTATTTCTTCATCTGTCTTGACGATAAATATTGAGTTAACACTAGTTAGATGTTAACAGTTCAGAAATCGACATCTGAACAATGATCATTCTTTTCAATGTATATTGACATGCAACACAATGTCTCTGATTGTGCTTTTTTGTAAGTTGTACGGTGAAACATTGTAAACTTTTCATAAACGCGCTTAAATAGGTTATGCGATTATGTGGCAAAAGATAGGTAACTTGTTGAGATATGTTGATGTCAGAAACAAGTAGCCCAGATATTCAAGCAAACCGCTAAAGTATTTTTTTAATTGTATTTTTTAGATTTCGTCATCACACTGTTGATTGGAGTGTTATTCTTTAAAATGTACTTATTAGTTATGCTGCATCTTTGTATACATTTCGGTTGCTGTAGACTACTTTGCACTTACAATTATCATACAGCTTTATTAGTTTACTTCAATTGCATGTGGATATGAGTTTTTGTTTGAAATTTTTTTCTAATGATACATGGTCTACAGTTGTGATTATCCAACAATAGAATATAGTATGGTGTGGGTTACTTATATCCACGAAAGTAGTAAATAATGGTGGTCAAGCATAGAATGTATTTCAGTAGAAGATCGATAAGGAAAGAACGGGAACGAAACGCAATCGGTATGAAAATGCATGAACAATGAAATTTGAGATAATGGATTGATATTTTGAAAATTAACTATTTAGACACTATCACCATTGAATGCCGGCTCAGTGGTCGGGTAGGTTAAGCGTTCGCGCGCAAGACTGAAGGCCCTGGGTTCGAATCCTGCGAGCAGGATCGTGGACGCGCACTGCTGAGGATTCCTGCAATATGACGAAACGACCGTCCAATGGTTCCAGGTTTTCATGATCACAATCAAAAACTTAATAACCTCCACAACTCCTGTACTGATTTATTGTACAGTTCTCAGATTTTAGTAAGATGCTCTGTAGATTCGTGTCAAATACATTCGATTGTCCCTACTCATGTTCTTGTTCACTACAATAATTTGAATGACCATTCCATTAACAGTAATGTATATAAAGATCATATTTATGAAAAGTCTAGGGAAGCTAACTACCTGTTGTTAAGATAAAAACAAAGTACCAACTTGACAGATTTATTTTTATAAATATTTACAATGAATTAGTTTGGAGATTATATTTGTTTTAAAAATTTACCAGTTCATTTGATATTATATGTATTTCTTTGTATTTCTGTTTAAAAATACTTAGCTGGAGGCTGAGTTAAAAATTAGTCAAAGTGAATTAGAATCAATGAAAGCCAAACAAGCCGGTGAACAAGCTGCACTGAAAACAGCATTAATGCGTGGTGTCTGTGCATTAAATATGGAAACAATGGCTGTATTCAATGAAACTCTGCCAAATATGAATAAAGAATTTATTAATAAAAAGTTTACTGTTGATTCGCAAATTTTAAATAAAAATTATTGTACAGATGATCATTTGGAATTAGCTCAGTTGACATCGAAGAAATTAAACGGTTGTCATTTAGATAAAACGATTCACAATCAATCAGATGAGATGATTTTCAACATACAAGCTGATCATATTGTGCAAGCCACTCATCAAAGTAGTGAGTATACAAACGTTTTAGCCTTAATGCTGCAACATACGAACGGCTATCGTAAGTATTGAATAGGTTGAAGTTCTTTGTTGCTTCGCTTGCTTGTGTGTGCGTGTTCTAGTGCAGTTGATGTTCTCTAGATGTATTCATGTGTCCGCACGCGATTAGGCATTGTACTGTAGTTTTGTTTTGGCCAATTTTCTGTGTTTCGTACTTTACGCTACAAATGATGCAGTGAGTTTTAGATAAACTTAACATAGTTTTTATAGTTTATTTTGTGGATATGTTTTTGATTTACGAAATTTACTTTACCCTAGAAATATTCTGGATGATATCCGTACTTTCAAGTTATTCTCATACAGTTGTTTCTAACAATAAATAAAGCAAAAACGAAAAATCCATTTGTTCATGAGTAGGATAACTGTTTTCTCGTATAAACAAACTCTTCTTAATAAGATCTATCTAGCTTACATATCTCAATAAGTCCAATACTGAAGCATAGTTTATGTAACTTATTCTGACTTTGTATATTGCATAATTCTACCACCGAGAGAGATTGGAAAGTTTGTATCCAAGACCTCAGCATATTTTTTTTATCGCGACTCGACATTACAAAGCAAAACTTAGGAATTTTTATTATTCAAACTCAGTCGTTTTTAGACAATGCATAGTTACTTAGTCGACAGTTTGTAAAACGATTGATTTTTTACACAATTTTTAATATGTAATATGGTCAAATTTCATTAATTCAATAGCAATAAGTGTTAAAACTATGCACTATGAAACAAGCTCAAACTGGGAAATAAAAGCCAGTCGGTCTTTTTTTTCTTTCTATTGTCTATTGGACTGTTTTACGTTATCAGATATTTTAGAAATCTCCGGGTGTATAAATGCGATGAATGATCAACATAAATTCACTTCATCACCATACATAGCATAAATATATCGAAAAATGTTTACCCTTAAGAATAACATTGTATATTCCATTAGATTGGCCTTAACTGAGTAAATATCTGCAGTATTACTGTACTTATATAATAAACTGAATATCCCAATTGTCCTTTATATTTATTAAGACACTGAGTTCTCTAATCAGAACAGACAGAATTCTATGGAGGCATGGCCAAGAGATACAATTCGTAATGTTGAACCATCTTATAGTAATGTGGTAAGAAAAGGCAACTGTGCAAAACCACTAAGTCATTCCACGGAAATTTGCGAACGTTGGTTAGGTCATCATGTGAGTTATATTGTTGAATGTATTTTATGTTTAATTTTATCGATGTGTTCACCTTTTTTATATTTTTAGTACATTGTCTGTACTTAACAAAAAATCTGTGAATTTTTATGTCACCAAACAAAAAACTTCAGATCTTATTATTATTGTTCAGTACATCATCTTAATTACTGTTACGGAATTGTGAGTTTTTCTGTTAAAGTCTCATGAATTTTAAAATTCATTGGTTGAATAAGTTATGAGATATAATTCGAAATTGCCAATGATCTCATTTCAAATCATTATCAAAGTTTTAAATATTTTACAACACTTCTTCAGTGAGTTCATGGTCTACATAATTATTTTTTAAAGACAGTTTTCATCATGGATTGAAATCAACTGTAGGATATTAAAAAAAGACCTGGGAAACTGTGAACAAACTTTCCCTATCAATTCTAAACAGCATAGAGCCTGGCAAACACGTGTTTCGGTTTAATTTACGGTTTCACAAGAAGATCAATATATCAAGACAAATACTAGACTAGTAAAAACGGTAGCCGTACTCATAGTAGTAGAAAGGAATGGACATACAGAATTTGATTCTAGGACTGGTGAGTTCGCGAAATAAAAAGGAATAAACCAGTTTGAAAACCTAACATCTAAGAGAAGACAAAGGGTAAGTATACCTGGACGGTTTGATCAATTACGTATGATGTCACTAAGCGTTTCCAACCATTAGTCGCGATAGTCACACTGACCTCAACCAGTTAGTCTGGACCTACCAACATAGTTCAGTCGATGATTTCAAAACCTGTCGTGACATCTTAGTTAGACCGCCCCTAAGCCTCTTCCAACCTATTCCTCTGCAAGCTAATATCTCTCGTTGAGGTAATAGAAGGTTAGGAACACGTAATGTTTCCTAAACATTTCAATCGATGAAGATTCACTGCTTCATCAACTGACTGGCCATCTTTATATAATACCCTGTATTAAATTTTGACAGAGTTTTGTTCTCTGAGCTGAATGGTTTGGTCGTGGAGCTTTCATCGTTCTCCTGAACGACATCATCAGCAAAAACTTCAGATAGACTTCTGTCTCCGTCAGAATCATCCACCTGAACTACAAATCTTCTCTACCACCCCGTATTAAACTTCAGTATTGCTTAATCGATGGTCCAAACATACTCGAATATTATTCTTAAGCACCTAGTATCAGAATCTAGTAACCAACAAACATCCATTTGTTAAGGCTGGATTCTAAACCCAAAAACAAACAATCTACCTTAATTATTAAAGATTTAGACATAAATCCATTTAAAAATTTTGATAAAACTTCAATCACTAAATTAAACTAGATTCGTCAAAGACTTAGGCGACTTAGGCACTTGACATTATTTTTAACCATTATCTAAAGTCAAAGTTAACATATTACACTGTCAGTAGCCATTAACGATTAAGACTAGTGCTTAAAAATCACGAACGTAGGTGAATTTACCTAATATACTGTTGTTATTATGGGATTTTCCATACACTATTTGTCCACTAAGGATAGAGTGATGTGACATTACTTTCCACATAGTAGTCAATCGGTTTAAATATCTCACTCCTATAGGCTGTCAATCGCAACTCTTATAGGCTAACAATAACTTCTATGATTTTAGCACTGCATTATAAGGGGTTGAATCCAAAAGAAAAAGTCATCAGTTTCCATTAGTTTGTAGATATCCATACGAACTTAAAATTTAGTTCCTAGCTTTCTGGCATTTGTCTTCAGGCATCCAGCATCATACCATGTAAGGCTTACAAAAGGCGGTCACTGTAATATAAGGAAAATAATCTTAATTTTTAAAAAAATGATTTTAATGCTTGGATATTCCTACTATTGGAAACGACAGTGTATTATAATTATCACAGTCTGTTTGCTCTGTGAATCTGTTCTTATTTATCATAAAATGTTACTGATGGATGTCAGTAGCTTAGGATAGTTACTTTTGTCAATAAAGACGAACAATAGAAAATCCCTTGTATTCTTTACACAGACTACAGCTTTTACGTCAATATATTTTACAGTGTAATAGGTTTTTATATAATGAACCAGATTGTATTCAGGTGTATTAAAAGCCATGAAAATGAATAACACTGTAGAATAAAATTTAATGAAAAGAACGTAAACATTGAATTCATGTACTCTAAGTTGCAGGCATGTAAGCTTTAAAGAATCGTTTGGATAAATTAGTGACCGAGTAGCATAATATTGTAATTTTGAAAGTGGGCACTAATGTGTACGGAATATAATTAGATATTTTTCATACGTTACACTTGAAGATAAAACGTAATATTCTGAGCGACTTATACAGAACAGATGTTAATTTCCCTGATGTATAAACTGGTTACTGAACAGTAAATAATGTATTTTTGTTTAATTTTCTAAATATGTTGCATTATCTTCTATTGAAGTACTCAGGACGGAAGATAAATCACATATGAACAAGTAGGGCCGATCAACAAAATCTTCATGAAGTTATTTTTCTTCGTTTTTTATTATGATTACAATAAATACACCACAATAAAACTAACTAATATCTAGATGTATTATTATTATATGATGACATAAATATTGGTACAAAGCGACACCGAATACATATGCACCATGCAAGTCACTTGATTTGTGCGTGGACTATGAGACTGTCCGAGTGCCCAAACCGAAACAGGTAGTTTTATTAAAAAGCCACACACGAGCCTTCAACCTAAGGGTCTGATCCACAATAAAGTGGAGCAACGTCAGGAGATGCAGTCCCGTATTAGCTGGTGACCAACGATTGGTTCATGCACCATTTGTTCCCTAGGGATACTGGAGCCCATGTGCAACATTTGTTTGGAATCAGGTTTTTCCAACTCCTCTAGGTGAACTCTGCATGTCCACCAACCCGGTTAAAGCGCCGGACATTTATTTTTCGTCCTCACAATTTTTTAAACAACACCCCCACCGCGAGAAGGCAATGAATGAGACATTATTATTTACTTAAATATTTTATTCTAATTCTCATAATGAGAATTCTGAATCGTATTGTGATCAGGTCACTTAGTACGACTGTTAATATTGTGATGTATATTACGAATGAGCGAAGTGTGAGAAACGTCTGTTCAATAACTGTTAAAAAAGACTGGAGTTTTAATGTACCATATCTAGAAGTTATTATGTATTTTTGTCAGGTGTTGTCTCTTTCATTGAAGATTGATCATTTTACAAAATCAAATTGTCATTTTAGTGTTTTTATTACCAAACAGTATCGCTTGATGAATCACTAGGAAAACCAATAAGGATTATATATTGTCAACAAATTTCTCAAGATAGCTCAAAAAGCTTTTCATAGGTGTTTAATTTGAATCAATTTTCACAAATAACTTACCATTTATTCAATTATTACCAGCGTTACTTAATTTATTTTAGAGTGATTACAGTGAAAACGATCCATTAAATTTATCTGGCTTACCGACATATAAAACTCATGATCGTCATTTAAATACAATTCAAAGTTTATCATACCAGGTCGATGAGAAAATATCTAATTCAGATCCAAGTGAATTAGAACATAACAATCAGATGGTATGCTATTTGTTTAATGAAGCAAACTAATGTTTATATGTTTCCTTTCTATTGTCTTTATATAAAATTCATAATGTTCTATTTCTATTTATTATCATTGAATACAGAATAATTAATCCCATCAATGAATTAAGACTACTCAATGAAATTTATAAATTTCCTTTGTTTTACTGTATCATGGAATAAAATAAAAAATACCATTTGTTAGTAAGAGACAAGGTAAACTACTAAGGTTGTTAAGTAGCATGATTATGGTAAAAAAAATTATTATACAAGGAAATAACTTGCTTTTACAACTTGATTGCAGCTTATAAGTAAGGTATATTGACATTTCTTTTTTCGACTATTTTTACTAGTAGTATTATTATTATTTTAATATTTAATGGAATTGATAAAATTCATTTTGAAAAATTTAAACTACGTCTAGCATTTTTGTTTAACCGAAATGTTTTATAGTTTTACAATCTATTTAATGTAAAATTTATCTGATTGTTTGTCTTTTAAAAGATGATACATTGTTGTTTGGTTTATGGTGATTTTGTTCTTTTCTAAAATATTTACACTAAGCACCGATGATTCAATTTTTAGAAATAAATTTCATCAGTAAGTGATACCTATTATAGTATCAATGAAAACCTGTTATTGAGACAGAAAACGTTTGAGTACTGAAGCTTATCAATTCGATGGACGTTTTAACGCATATACCTTGGTACGGTCGAGAGTGAAGAGAGTCAGCTCTCCCTCACGAAATACTCTCACATGGCCACGTGTATACAACCACTACCAGAGAAGTCCTACTCAATGCGTTCTAGTGGTAGGAGTGTTGTTTACAAGATCGAGTAAACAAAAAGCAAATGTCCGGCGCTTTAACCGAGTTGATGAATGTGGACGATTCACCTAGAGGAGTTAGAAAACCCTGATTTCAAACAAATGGTGCACATGGGCTCCAGTATCCTTAAGGAACAAATGGCGTATGAACCAATTTTTGGACACCAGCTACAATGCGACTGCATCTCCTGACGTTTCTCAGACCTTTAGAACGAATAATCCTGGTGTGGCCCCCTAAGGAAACTACCTGTTTCGGTTTGGGCACCCGGACAACATCCCAGCTCTCACACAAATCGAATGATCTGTGTGGCACATATCTATTTGATACCTCCTTGTACCAATGTTCATGTGTTTAAATTAATAAATAAAATCAGTAGTTTACAAAGATCCTAAAATTTAGACTTCAGAGTAATAACTAATCTAGTGGTCTCCAGATTGATATTATATAGTGATACGTATGTCTCGTCACGAAATAAATGTACCAGAATAACACTAAATTCATTCAATTCGGTGTTTTTTTCTGATTTCTGGATACACTTGAAAAATGTGCTCAGTTTGACTATAGAAATATTTGTACTCAATGAAAAACGTCCCTGTATTTTGATAATTTTTGGGATCATTTCCATTTCTATAAAATGCAGGATAACAAATGGTTACCAAACAAAGATTTAGCTCCGAACAAAAATTACGACACATCCTTTCGAATCAATATAAACTCTACGAATTCTAATCATGAAAAACCCGACCGCAGCTTGTATGATGGAAAAACTCATACGACAGTTGAAAATGCTAAAAAGATGTTAAGTTCACGAAACTCATCAAATCGTTTTTATTCTACGGTGAAACAAAATAAATTATCATCATATCCAAGACCTCAAACTGTACAGCATGGAATACCTACTGGAAACTATCCAAGCGGTTCTACAGCTATGGTCAATATCTTAGTTCACCGACATCAAACCGGTAATCAGGTAAATTATTTTATATTTTCCTCATGTTTCTTACTTTTTTAAAGCTGTTTGTACTTCATATAATAGTTGAAAAACTAACTATATCCACATAAATAGTATATAACGATAGTCACAGATAGGAAACGTTTCAGTAGAAGATCGATAAGGAAAGAACGGGAACGAAACGCAACTGGTATGAAAATGCATGAACAATGAAATCTGAAACAGTGGACTGATATTTACAAAAAGGACAGTAAAGTTTGAGACGATGGACTGATATCTTGAAAATTAACTATTTGTTGTATAGTTCTCAGATATTTCTAATCTTGTGCTCAGTTACATTCAGTTGTCCTCACTCATATCCTCGTTCACTACAATTTAGGGTAACATATTTATTGATACAACATAGTTTACATAAGTTATTGCTTTTTAGTTAATCTATCAAATTCAGAATGTTTACGAAAACATAAACATGATGCAATGGTATAAATAGTACATCTATTTTATGTTTTAACTCTACTCAACCGAATCAAGTTTGCTGGTCAGGATAATGTCTAGCTTAAGCATAGTAGGGTAACTGAAAGACTAGAAAGTGAATTTGTGCAAGGTTGCTGAGTTGTTTAAACACATTTTTGAATGAGACACTATTATTCACTTAAATATCTCATTCTGATTCTCATAATGAGAATTCTGAATCGTATTGTGGTCAGGTCACTTAGTAGGACTGTTAATATTGTGATTTATATTACGATTTAGCGAAGTGTGAGAAACTTCTGTTAAATGACTGTTAAAAAAGACTCGAGTTTTAGTATACCATAAAATTTTAATAGTAAGAAAGGTTAGTTCTTATTTTTTTATTTTATCAGACAAGATCATTTTAGGTAGCTTGATTACTCACTTATTCGATACTGAGCTTGAATAATTAAACATGGATAAAGTAACGATATCGTAACTGAACTTCTATTTTCAATCAACAAAACGGATAATTAATTTTTGTTACTATATCAGTTCAATACTGGATAGGTAGTGAAGTAGTCGCACGTGTTAACAAATTCACTTGGAAGTCTGATCACGCCTAATGGGTTGGTGTCTGACGAAATATCAGCACGGATTCGAAAAGATCGTTTAGCTTTCGCCAACTTATGTCACCTATGGAGATGGCGAGATATCCATCTTTCAATTAAGGGACGAGTATATTGCTCAGTAATTCGTTCTGTTCTACTTTACGGCTGCGAAACGTGGCCATTAAGAATTCAGGAAACTCGTAAGTTACTAGTATTTGATCACAGATATCTTAGATACATCGCTCGCATCTGCTGGGATCATCAGGTAAGTAATAGTGAGGTTAGACGCAGGGTATTAGGGAATGATGGTAAATCAGTTGATGATGTTGTGAATCTTCATAGACTTGGATGGTTGGGCTATGTGTTACGTATGTCTGAATACCGATGACCACGACGCGCAATGCTGATTAGTGTTGGGGGTGGTTGGAAGAGAGTTGGGATTGGCCAAACCAAAACGTTCCGTCAGTGCTTGAAGTCACTTCTAGTCTTAGTCATGTTGATAGATGCAGATTGCTTGGTTGGGGTCGGTGTGTCTATCGTAAGCAATGATTAGAGATTCTTGGTGACATGACTCAGAATCGATCACACTGGCGTAGCTGTCTTCCCTTAAACCATGAGATCAAAATAGCTTCATATCTTTCTTTCTATAAACTAATTCTTTCTCGATGTATTATGTCCTTATATGCAATATTTCTTTTATATACTGCCAGCACTGAATTAACTACTTCTATGAATCCAGTGTTCATCTTGTTTTGCTAATGAGGTCTGGGAACTTGAACCGATGCATATATGTGCCTGATCCTACGTTATAGCTGATTGACTAAGGTGATTGTTATGTAAATGGTTTGAGATTTATTTGTTCCATAAATTTATTTTCAGGTTAACTTATTATGATTTCTTATAAATATTTTGATTATCAATAACATTTCATGATAAAAATAAAATATTTCCCTTTTAGATAAATTCAACAGAAAATGTAAATACTCATAAGCATACAATTAATTCAACAGGAGTACACTATTCACATTGTCAACATAATCTTTCATCAACACCACGTTTATATTCTGATTCATATTCTCATAGACATGTTTAAATGGATTAAAATGTAATATTTTTACTTCTTATTTATATAATTGATGAAGGCATATTTAACTAATATATGTATGTATTCTATTATCATATTTTCATACGTTGCTAGAATGATCTATAAATAAACCTTATTTAAACGTTGTAGTTATTCTTATGTAAGTTCACTTATTTCTTTGAAATATACACATATATTTTTTTGTAGTAGTGTGGTGCGTACTACTTATATTGATATAAGTAATATATGACGCAAGTCAGAAATGTAATGTCTAGCAGAAGAAGATGGGGGGAGATCAAGTAAGCAAAAGCTGGAATAGAATGCAATTTGCATGAAAATGCAAGAACAATGAAGTCTGAAGCATTTTGAAACAATTGGTGAGCATTTTGCAAATTAACGATTTGATATATCGTTCTCAAATTTTGTAGAGATGCTCTGTAATTTTGTATTAAATGTATTCGGTTTTCCCCACCCGTGTTCTTGTTCACTACAGTAGAAGTTATTTCATTCAAAATAAATGATTCTACCATTTACAATGCGAATATGGATCTTTCAAGGTAACAGGATTGTGTTGAATCTAATTTATATAGTGATCACTGATAATACAAATCTAAGTTACTTCATCACTAACCAGCTTTACAAACAATCAACAATGTTTCAAGTTTGACCGTGAAATATATACATAAACTATTAGTAAAAATTGTAATGATGCATGGAAAAAAATATTGTACTCCATTTACTTACTTACGCCTGTTACTCCTCGTGAAGGAGCATAGGCCGCTCACCAGCATTCTCCATCCAACCCTGTCCTGGGCAATCCTTTCTAGCTCCGTCCAGTTGTAATTCATCGTTTTCATATCTGTTTCTATTATCCGACGCAATGTGTTCTTTGGCCTTCCTCTTTTTCGCTTCCCTTCAGGATTCCAAGTTAGGGCTTGCCTCGTGATGCAGTTTGACGATTTGCGTAATGTATGTCCTATCCATTTCCATCGTCTTTTCCTAATTTCTTCTTCAGCTGGAAGTTGGTTTGTCCTCTCCCACAGAAGGCTATTGCTGATGGTATCCGGCCAATAAATGTTGAGTATCTTGCGTAGACAGCTATTTATAAATAGTTAATGTTGACAATCTTCTCAGGAACTCCGTAGTGTCGAAGACGTTTCCATAATGTCCTCCTATCTACACTGTCGAATGTTTTTTCATAATCAATGAAGTTGATGTATAGTGATGAGTTCCACTCAACTGATTGTTCGACGATGATCCGTAGTGTTGCAATTTGGTCTGTGCATGATCGACCCTTACGGAATCCAGCTTGTTGATCTCGAAGTTGGGCGTCTACTGCATCTTTCATCCGGTTCAGCAACACTCTGTTGAAGATCTTCCCTGGTATTGACAGCAGTGTAATGCCTCTTTAGTTTTCACATTTGCTCAGATCTCCTTTCTTTGGAATCTTGACGAGATGCCCTTCTTTCCAGTCCATCGGAACTTGTTCCTCCTCCCAAATCTTTTTGAATAGAAGGTAAAACATGTTTGTAGTTGCTTCGATGTCTGACTTCAGTGCTTCAGCTGGTATGTTGTCCGGACCCGCTGATTTCCCGTTCTTGATTTGTCTGACGGCCATCCTGATTTCTTCCTTCGTTGGTGGATTGACGTCTATGGGAAGGTCTGTGTGTGCCGCTTCGATGTCCGGTGGATTCATTGGAGCCGGCCTATTCAGGAGTTCCTCGAAGTATTCTACCCATCTGTTCCGCTGTTGTTGAATTTCAGTGATTGACTTGCCTTCTTTGTCTTTGACTGGTCTCTGATTTACTGTATTTCCCTGATAGTTTCTTCGTTGTATCGTGAAGCTGTTTCATATTTCCTTTTCTAGCAGCTTTTTCTGCCGTCATTGCTAGTTCTTCCACGTATTTCTTCTTGTCGGCTCTAATGCTCCTCTTCACTTGTTTGTTTGCTTCTATGTATTCAGCTTGTGCTTGGACTTTCTCTGCTCGTGTTCGGCTGTTGTTTATTGCTGCCTTCTTATTCTTCCTTTCTTTGATCTTGTCCAGTGTTTCTGTAGAGATCCATTCCTTATGATGGTATTTCTTTAGACCCAGAACCTCTTGACACGTTGAAGTTAATGCTTCCTTGATGCCTTTCCAGTTGTCCTCAATACTAGTTTTTTTCTTCTTGCAGTAGATCTTGTAAGGCTTGGAACCTGTTGTTGAGAGCTATCTTGAATTCATTGAGTACTCCATTTACTAGTTTACATGTAATTATCTTAAAGTTAATATTCATTTGAAAGACTTGATTGTTAATTATATGGGTTTGTTTACTATCTTAACTTTCAAAAGACTGGATTCTCAATTTCTAAAAGTAAGAGGAACACTATATAATTACTAATTGATTTAATGTAGGAAACAATAGTAACTTGCTTTTATTTACTAAGTACACAAGCACACAATGAAACAAGTTAAATTTTATTTTTTTCTTAAATAGCACTTTATGTTGCAAACTTTTGGGAGAGATGGTACAGGATAATCAAGAAATCCTCCACGAGAAACTGGACGGTTTAATATTAATCTTCTGTGTAGGGTGATCGGTGATTATTGCTAAAAAGTCTCAAATTTAGATGAAATAACTAATTTCTTCTGATTTTTACTTGTTCTCTAGATGATGTAAACTTATAGTGAAAGCTTTTTTCGAACTGTTAAATAATAATCGCACTATCTTTAACAAGAAAAAATTTTATGACGTAATCATTTTCGTGAGATAGTATACTTTGCTTTTAATTTTTACCGAGTTTCTGTATCATTAGGAATTTTTCTTACATTTGAATCCTGCGTAGGATAGTAAATTAGTAAAACGTCTCAAGACAGGACAATGATTGTGTCTTATATTGAACAAGGACTCAATTTCAGATGAATGTTTTGGAGTATTTGAGCAACACAAACGAAGAAGTTGAAAAAAACAGCAGAATGTTTATTTATGAGACCATATTAATGTGAATGATTGAGAAATTGATGTTAAGATAGCCCATTTTGAAATAAAACGATAGGTCAGGTTTGCGAAACTGACACTTTCAAACTAATGAAACAACTTGCCACAGTTGTCCATAGCTTATGATGCAGCAGCATGTTGTTCCTCAAAGTATTGAAAAATTTAGAAACCAACGTATTTGTGAAATGGTTGACAGGTCTTCGGAATGAACGGCAACTTGAACACGAAAGAAAAAGCGTGAAATGTAGTAAGAACGCTTTATCCCAATGTTCGTTTATGTGAAGAAAATCGAGAGTATTTATAGTATTTCGGATGACCTTGCGCTTCTGGAACCATAATAAACATAGCAGGAGAGGTAATCATCCAGTCAGAAATATGACACTTGATTTTTCAATATCTAGGTGCTTCTGAGACGCTTCTATTGAATGCTGATTGGATAAAATGTTTCACGACGTTTACAGCGACCCTCTGTATTTTTTCGAGAAAAACTTTAGATCCCTGAAATAGTCATATATACACCTAATGAGAAATTTTAAACTACGACAAAACACATATTAGGTGTGTTATGGTTTAGTGATTTTTTATAGCAGATATCAAGCGATAAAAGCTAACTTGAAATTGAAAAAGCTCCCAAAATAATAAACTGAATCGTTTAAAATTGTTTGGATTATATTATTTAGGATAGTGAAATCCTGGATGCACCTATGTTTCTGTCCTGGACATGTCATCTGAAAGAATCTGCATTTCAGTATTAAGATTCCCAGTGAACTTCAATACCGCGATAGCCACTAACTGTTCAAAAGGGATATCTGTTAATAATTGTTCGAATAATATGGTGAGTAGAGTGTAATTCTGATAATTAAATAGTCCACTAAACAAACCTAGGGGAGCTGAACCACATATTTCGTCGTTTATTCGTCCTTATATCACAAAAGTTGTTCTTTAATTATATTCTATTTTGGGATGTTTTCAATTTTCATACATTGATTAGACATACGAAAGTCAATTTTTCTAATAAAAAAAAACTAACGAGACCATTTTGCCTAAGCATTTTGACTACGATAAGTCTACTGTCGAGCACCAACGTAAATCTACGGCTTGTCAACTTTGAGGATAATATGCTTTAAATATTGGTAAGTGTTCTACTAACAAACTAATTGTAAGCTTACCAACACCACAAACAAAACATAGACATTTATTGGTTGCAGTTTTGGCAGTTGATAATGAAAGTCAAACATAAAGAGCACCTAGATATTCAAGCATCTCCTACAGGTAGTAGCGTGAAATATATATTTCAGACACTAGCTTCCTGAATTGTTTGATTGAGTAAGAGAATACGACAAGGAAGTGACAGATTGAATGATACGACACACTAAGTAGATTCCTTGAACACCATGTGCGTAATACCGTATTTAAAAGCTAGTTATGATACAACATAAATAAATGTATATCAGGAAGAAAATCGTAAATATATATTAGAATATTACAAGAGAATTGACTAATTGAGGTAATGCTAGTACTACAAAACTAGGCTAGTCGACTTAAATCTATAGTCTGTCAAATACGGTTTTAAATGATTGAATTGAACAATCGCAACTGAAATATCTGTGCTATCGTTTCTTAGTATGATAAAGAAGTGTGGTGGCTCACAACTCTGAGAAGGCATCAGCATCTTTGAAATGCCACACACGACTTACTGATAAGTATCAACAAGCAAAAACACCAAGTCTAAAGCTTCGATTACACTGGCACCATACTGTGATATCATTAGACGCAATGAGTCAATCCAGGTCAGTCAAACAATCATAACGTAGAGGTAGTAACAGTATCAATGGTAACACGAAAGATCAGGCTTCAGAGACACGACTCAAAGAGAAACTATACATTAGTGAAATGAAAACAAAATAGTTATGAGGAACTTAAAATTTCAGGATTTGGGGAAGACAAGAAACGGATGCACCTGCGCAATTACAAACGATATAAAGCCATGTCATTCAAAATCTAACCATTAGTTATGATAATCACGAGGACTCCAACCGGATAATCTACACCTATCAACATGGCTAAGTCCAACTGTCAGTGACATCATGGACTAATAAAATATTTCGGTTTGGCCGCCCTTGGCTCTCTTTCAACCTACTCCTACACCAGAAAACATCGCCCATCGAGGTAGGCGGTGATTGAGCATACGTAACACATGTCCCAACCACCTCAGTTGATGAAAATTTAATACCTCACCAATCTATTTCAAACCCTTACCTAGTACTCTATTCACAACCCTGTCATGGCTTACTCCGTGGTCCTAAAATGCACAAGTAATGCTCCGTAAACACCTGTAATCGAATACTAGTAACCTACGAATATTCTCTGTTCTTAATGGACATGTTTCACATCCATAAAGTAGGACGAAGAGAACTGCTGAGCAGTAAACCCGTCACCTGATTGGTAGACGAACATCTTCCCTACGCCACAAGTCAGCAAAAGCCAATCTAGCCTTCTAAACTCATATCGAGACTTCGTCGGACACCAGACCATCAGGACTAATAAGACTCCAACATAAGCGAAGCGATCGATGCGTCAAGCTACTTCACTCCCTGTCACTAACTCAGGCGATGACTAAAGTCAATGCGAAGTAGCACTTCACGTTTGAAGGGAGAGAACCGCATCCCAAGCATGCTCGAATTGTTGTTTAAGGTGATCAGAAGACTGCGTTTTGTCAGCATACTTACCAAACAGAACTATATTGTCTGCATATTCTGAGCCAACAAATGAATCCTTCGGTGGAAGATCAATCCTTGAAAGGTTAGACGGTGAAAGCGTTATCTCTTAACGCATATCTAAGACGAAGTTGAATAAAAGTAAGGAAAGCGAACAACCCTGACGAACACCACTTGAAGCAACCAATTTCGATGATAGTTCGCCATCAGCTCTAACTCGACCAGTAGTGTTCAAGTGGAGAGTCTGTACAATGTTACTATACTTAGTTGGTACGCCTTTCAATGACAGATACTGCCACAGAACCTCATGATCAATGGAGTTGGACGCCGCCCTGAGGTCGAGGAATACAACTAGTCGGACATAAAAAAGTATGTCCATGTCCCGGAATCCGAATATTTGGTCCATACATCCACGTCCAAGTCTGAAAATGGCCTGGTTTTTTCGGGTTCGCTCTAGTCAGACGTCGAAGTATTATTGAGGCTAACATTTTAGACACTACATTAGTTAAATTGATTGTCATAAAAGGATTTTAGTCCTTCCTCATGGACTGGGACGATCAGCAGTCCAGACCGGTCAGATGGGATAACGTCCACTTCTGAGACTTAAGCCAAGATTTCAGTTAATCTAACTACTAAAACTAGACTACCATCCTTAGAAATCTCAGGGGATAGTATTTAAGGCTCTGCCTTGCTTTAGATTACTTACAGTTTTCTCAACCTCAATAAGAGTTGGAAGACTTACATCAGTTTGCCAGATAGTGGGCAACTAAAGTGTGGCTGAAGACCAGTTGAACCATTTCCTAAAGTGTTCTGCACATCGGTTCAATCTCCTGCACTGAGAGTGAATAACAGTCTCGTCTTCGTTTGAGATAGTTTCACTCACAATGGGATTCCCAATACCTGTTAACTTGATAAGTTTGCACAGTTGTCTACTGTCACATATCGCTGCTGCCTTTTCCACATCTTCTGCTTTCGCCACCGACCACTGCTTACGATCACTTCATGCTTGACTTGCTCGGCCTCTAGTTATTCCTGAAATATATTCTGAACTTCTTAATCCTAAAATTGGTCTCAAAGGAGTTTTCTTGTCGTGGCTTTTCTACATCCAGTAAGACACAGATATATACATGATCGAACTAGATCATGACTCAAGTCTAAACATGTGCTTCAAGATGAGCGAGTTTCCTATCGGGTCCATCCAATAACGGTTAGTGGCAATATAATCTGAGTCCATCGATGGTGGAGGTCGGCACGTGAGACGTTGTTTCTCCCTGTTTTAAGTTGATGTTTATCAGAAATAGAGCTATTTGAGCATAGTTGCGACATACGGTCGCAATTATCTGTTCACTGACCTGCAGCATCGTCAGATCCGCTTCAGTGCATCTTGGTTTGGCTTAATTTACATACTTGATGACTAACGTCACCTGCCACTATTACTACATCAGAGCGCTTAGCTTTTTGAGGGAGGTTGGACAGCTCTCTATAAAATTTATCCTTAACTTCGTCCGAGCTGCAGTCAGTGGGATCGTAAGTAGTGACAATCAGAATCTAACGGCGCGTGTCCTTATTTTCTCGAATTCTAAATGTCCCGTATAGTCATACAGCGAAAAAGCGATTATCTATTGGAATCCAATCTAACATAGCCTGTTCTGTTTCTGAACTTAATAATATACCTATACCAGTGAGGTCCCGGGAAATAGCAGTTGGGTCTTCAGATACTCGAACAGTAAATCGTGTCGAGTTTTTACATTGACAAGTTGAGATCAAATGAACTGTGCTTGAATCCTGAATGTGCGTTTCGGAGACACAGTATATTTCGATGGCGCGAGATTTTTTGTTAAGGGACCTGGGTTAGGTAGCTATGATCGGGAGTTGATGAACATGTATATCGTTGTAAAGTAGCTATTTCAAACAAAATTACTTGTGCGAAAAACTTGAGAAGTATCACTGTGTACATGTTTAAAATTAGAGTCTAGTATGCAAAATAGATTTCGGAGTATATGTACAAAAACGTGTGAAAATTTATTCATCGAATACAATATGCTTGTGATCAGTCTTATTACTTGGAGGTATACAATTAGTGATTGATGTAGGATGATGATCTGCAGATTTTTGTTTTTGACGTTTGTTTAATTGTGAAGTCCGATGACGTTCTCTAGCATTTAACTTAGACTTGATAATATTATCACAGTACGCTTGTTCACTAGGACCTTCAAGAATACGTGCTGTTACTCCATGAATTGTAGAAAGATTAACAGATTGTACCAATTTCAGAGCAGTTTTATTATTTTTCATTCGAATAAAAAGAGGAACAAATTCATCTGACGAAAGTGATCCATTTAAATTAGTATTTGGTATTATACAACACCCAAATTGGTTAACAGAATCCAATAGACTTTGGTTAGGGTTTGGGTCTACATGAGCAACATCTTTTAAAAGATTACATGGAACAAGGAGATTCTTTTCTAGACTAATACGCAGACATCGAGCGAATGATAACTTCTTCGGTGTTATCAATGTATCACCAAGACCATCTGACAGATGTGTATCTGCTGAATCTCCTTTGGGAATCAATACTGAAGGCCAATATATCTATAAAAAAAAGCAACACAATCCATCATAGGAGTAATCACTGAATGAAATTTTGCACATCTCGAAAATAAGAAATAATATTTTGTGCAGTGTTTGATTATCGAGAGTATTCTATCAAAAAAGAATAAACACGAAAATAAAATAGTCTCCAAAATAATAGTTTAAAAAGGATTGTCAGAATCAGTACAGACGTGCAATTATTTAATAACTGTGACTGAAAATATATTGAAGTGTTACTTTTTACAGTCTGAGTGCATTCGCAATATCCGATATCTATTGATAGAATACTTCTACTGCTTAAACACAATCATTATAAAAGTAAATCGAATCAGTTTTTGGGAAAAAAACGGATTGATTAAGTGGGGATTACATGAATTGTATACACAAATTACGATCTTGAACATAAGAATAAGTACAAGTGAAAATGAAAAATTTGCTAAATGATAAGCATGATATATGTTCACCACCTTTTGATAAGAATTTCAACGGAATTAGCACAGTATTAGCGCTATTCTCAAATAAGTATGACTGTTACATTAAAGTGAAGCAATTGTAACGAGGTCCTTGCTGTCCGTCGTCATTCTAATAGTAAAACTAAAAAACGTGGCATCAGTTCATAAAGTTATTTATTGTTGATCTGTGCCATGTTAGTAGACGCAATCTACTTGGATAAGACTCGCACAATTATCATGACTGATGGTTGCAGACGCTTAGTAACTTGGTTCGGAATCGGTTGCAATGACATAATTCATATGTCTATCAATCCAGTGTCATGAGATTGCAAAGTAAAATGAAGCTATTTGTTACGAAGTACTGTCAACGAGTTCGTTTACTATTCTCTGACAGTATATTCTTTGACATCTATGGGTAGATAATGTGTCGTTCCTTCAAAAGAAATATGGTCAATTATTGAAAAATAATACAGCTAACTAGCGAAGACAAAACAGACAAAAAAGAAACCTAACCTGAACAATGGAATTCGGAACAAAATTATTTGGAAGTGCTTTCGGTCTAGTTGGAGATTCATCTAAACATTTTACTGGCAGTGAATTTCGATTTATTTCAGAATCTATTTGATAACATTCTTTCTCTTCCATACTGGCATCCTCATCACAATCATCATTGTTAATATTTTTGTTAGTCATTAATAATTCAGTTTTATGATGCATTCTTACAATCCATGCTTGTTGCCACAGATAAAACTTTTGCTTCCAAAATACCCAATCAGAATAACGAAATACACGTAGTTTAGATTGACATGGTTCATAAGTACGATTGTTTTTAACATAATTCAGTATAGCTTCTGTCGAGTTATCACCAAGTATAATTGAATAATCTATGTATAAAGAAAAATTCCAATACATAAAGCAAAATATAAATAATACCTATTTATAACAATCACAGATGACATAAATGCAGGAAAAAAACAATTTTTTCTAGTGTTTTGCTACTGTAATCGGATTTATATGGTGAATAGGTAAGAACACTGTTCATATGTGACTTAACAACATTAGATACATATCTAGACCTTATCGGACCTTCTTAGACACCATGGTGAACGTGAGATCATCAATATCATAGGGAATTCATACGACAGACCACACTGCAAGGTTATGTATAAAAGACAGCTGACAAATGCATTTCAAGTGAGGACCGGAGTCAGACAAGGCTGATTGCTCACCCCCCTTCTCTTTCTTTTAGTGGTTGACTGGATAATGAAGACCTCCACATCGGAGAGAGCATGGAATACAATGGACAGCTCGGAATCAATTACACGACTTGAACTCCGCAGATGGCCTGGCCCTTCTTCTATCTCAAACACACCAACAAATGCAGATCCAGACAGCCAGTATAGCAGCAGCAGCCTCTGCATCAGTAGACCTCAACATACCCAAGAAAAATGTAAGATCCTCAAACACAACACAGGGAATACCAACTTAATCACACTTGATGGAGAAGCACTGGAAGATTTGGAAACTTTCACGTACCAGGTCGGCAGCATCATCGACGAACAAGGAGTATCGGATACAAACGTAAAAGCAAGGATTGGCAAAGCACCAGCCACATTCCTGCAGTTGAAGAACATATGCAACTCAAAATAACTGTCAACCAATATCAAAGTCAGAATGTTCAATACGAACGTCAAGACAGTTCTATTGTACCGAGCTGAAACTTGGAGAACTACCACAACCATCATCAAAATCGTACAAGTATTTATTAACAATTATCTACGCATGATACTTCGTTTCTGTTGACCGGATACCATCAGCAACAACGTACTGTGGAAGAGAACAAACCAGCTTCCAAATGAAGAGGAAATTAGGAAGACATTGGAAGTGGATAGGACATACATTACGGGAACAATCAAACTGCACCACAAGGTAAACGATAACTTGAAATCCTGGAGGGAAACGGGAAGGATGAAGAACACACTGCTTCGAGAATTTGAAGCAGATATCAAGAGGATGAATGGCAACTGGAAAGGATCGCCCAGAACAGAGTTGAATGGGGAGTGCTAGTGGGCAGCTTATGCTCCTCCATTAGGGGTAACAGGCGTAAGTAATAATTGCCATTTTGTCAATGGAAGCGTTAAACGTGCAATGAATTTTATGAATATTAAGATAATAATTAAATACTTTAATATATATTTCAGCTTACATTCCTTATCACATGGATTGCTAGCAGTGTATCCGACCTGACGTAAATGTTTGAACGCTGCAATAAGTTGTTTATTCTTTCGAGAGCAACAGCGCCAAATATGCCGTCTGGCTAACATTTGCTGAAGTGAAAAAGAAACTTTAGATGCAAGTCGTGGTTTCCATGCTGATTCTGGACACTCAGATACTTCATTTGTTTCTAATAAACATACAGGTCATAAAAAGAATTAAGTAAATTGAAAAAGACATGAAAACGAAACTTTATTACAAAATAAAATAGTCATCAAACTACTTTGTATAAATTATGTACATAGTGCTTGTGGTTATCTAAACACAAATGTTCTTACCTTGAGAATTATAAGAATGTTATGCTTCTTCCAATGTATAATGATTAAACCATATTCAGATAATTAGTTTAGTTAATGCTTGCTTTCCTCAGGGTCAACCGTCAGAAAGGTAGTATGGAAAAAACTATAATACATGTGGTGCGCACCGACTAGCTAAAAACCAGTTTAACACGTGAGTATATGTATGACATTATGCAGGATTCGCGATGTTAAGGGTGTTATCTGGACATTAAAGCCAACTGGTGGACAATATGCTTTGGAGATATGATATAAGTAAAATTCTTATTAACAATACGAACTTAGACCTAACCACATACTCCATCCAAAACTTTTGTCTGAGTGATTAAGCTGAGAGTAAATCACAGTTAGTCAGTCATGAGTTATAATCTTGATGAATACAGTTAATCTATAATAAGAAATTCGTAGTGAATTTAGGAACAGACTTGCAAATGATGCCACTGTGAGTAAAGCAATATTTTTGTATCTATTTGTTTTGTAAATAAATTCAAATAATAAAACTATGACAAGATAAATGGTCACTCCACCGAAAGTCATAGTTGGAAAACACAAGTGTTGTTTAACGATATTTGATAAAAATAAACGACGTCACACTATTTATAAAAAAAAATCAAGATGTAGAGTGAGTGCAAATAGTCAAAAGGAAATTTTGAACCTAGGTTTCGTATGACTTGGCATATGTCAGAAAGACGTACCAGCAATCTCGAGAAATGATACTCCCCTGGCGGACTAGATTTCACATACGATAGATGAACAAGAACCTTTCAAAAATATCATCAGTGGTTTCCAACTTTTTTTAATTTTCGAAGGGCATTTTGGAATATATCAAAAAAGCTTTTGACCATATTATTGGATTGGGGATGGAATAGAGGTGTTTGATATGATTGATTCTGTTGTGCCGACAAAATTCTGAAAAGATAGCAGAAGTAAACTGCGAAATGGCTGAATAGTTGACATCGTTTTCTGGCCGCGCAGTTTGCAGTTGGATTTTCCAAGAGGGAGGTTTCTGGCCACTTGATGTACGCATCAACTAACAAAAGGTAAGTTTGTCCATGAAGTGGACCAGCAAAGTCAGTTTATACACTGCAACGGTGACTGTGATACTGACCATGGCTGAAGCTGATTTTCGTGGTGTTTTTGTTGCTAAAGAGCATTTGTTGCACTAACGGGAGAGCTGCTTTAGTTGGATGTCTAAGAGCGGCCAATATATATAACTTCGTGTTAGAGCTATCATGCAATTTGTCTCTGGATTCCATGTATGTGATTTTTCAACCACTGTTTCTGGAACATGTTTTAATACAATCTATGTCTGACTAATAATATTCAACGAATAAACTGGATCACGTTTGAAAGCAAAGTGTTGTTTCATCAAGGACAACAAGCGTTTTTCACATAAAGTAAAAAAAACTATATCGAAATATACACAACTACAAAATGTAGAAAACAAACTACTTACCAGTAGGTTGCACGAGCCATTTTTCATTTTCCATGAAAGCACACATGTGTTTAACAGCTTTTCTAGCAGATTTAGACGTTCTGAATTCAACGAAAGCAAATCCTCGGAACGAATTAGAGTGATGATAACTAAAATTAACACAATTATATATTATGTTATTTGGAAAATCTACTACTATGCAATCAAACATAGTATGATATCATTGTTAACAACACATTTTCCATGAAGTCTTTAGTGTACTTCTTCGTTGGGTAATAAAAATATCACGTTGTATTACGTTCAGCACATCAAATTCTACTTTGATAGTGTGAACTCTGGTTAGTTGATTTAAATCTATAGTCTGTCAAATACGGTTTTAAATGATTGAATTGAACAATCGCAACTGAAATATCTGTGCTATCGTTTCTTAGTATGATAAAGAAGTGTGGTGGCTCACAACTCTGAGAAGGCATCAGCATCTTTGAAATGCCACACACGACTTACTGATGAGTATCAACAAGCAAAAACACCAAGTCTAAAGCTTCGATTACACTGGCACCATACTGTGATATCATTAGACGCAATGAGTCAATCCAGGTCAGTCAAACAATCATAACGTAGAGGTAGTAACAGTATCAATGGTAACACGAAAGATCAGGCTTCAGAGACACGACTCAAAGAGAAACTATACATTAGTGAAATGAAAACAAAATAGTTATGAGGAACTTAAAATTTCAGGATTTGGGGAAGACAAGAAACGGATGCACCTGCGCAATTACAAACGATATAAAGCCATGTCATTCAAAATCTAACCATTAGTTATGATAATCACGAGGACTCCAACCGGATAATCTACACCTATCAACATGGCTAAGTCCAACTGTCAGTGACATCATGGACTAATAAAATATTTCGGTTTGGCCGCCCTTGGCTCTCTTTCAACCTACTCCTACACCAGAAAACATCGCCCATCGAGGTAGGCGGTGATTGGGCATACGTAACACATGTCCCAACCACCTCAGTTGATGAAAATTTAATACCTCACCAATCTATTTCAAACCCTTACCTAGTACTCTATTCACAACCCTGTCATGGCTTACTCCGTGGTCCTAAAATGCACAAGTAATGCTCCGTAAACACCTGTGATCGAATACTAGTAACCTACGAATATTCTCTGTTCTTAATGGACATGTTTCACATCCATAAAGTAGGACGAAGAGAACTGCTGAGCAGTAAACCCGTCACCTGATTGGTAGACGAACATCTCCCTACGCCACAAGTCAGCAAAAGCCAATCTAGCCTTCTAAACCATATCGAGACTTCGTCGGACACCAGACCATCAGGACTAATAAGACTCCAACATAAGCGAAGCGATCGATGCGTCAAGCTACTTCACTCCCTGTCACTAACTCAGGCGATGACTAAAGTCAATCCGAAGTAGCACTTCACGTTTGAAGGGAGAGAACCACATCCCAAACATGCTCGAATTGTTATTTAAGGTGATCAGAAGACTATGTTTCGTCAGCATATTTACCAAACAGAACTATATTGTCTGCATGTTCTGAGCCAACAAATGAATCCTTCGGTGGAAGATCAATCCTTGAAAGGTTAGACGGTGAAAGCGTTATCTCTTAACGCATATCTATGACGAAGTTGAATAAAAGTAAGGAAAGCGAACAACCCTGACGAACACCACTTGAAGCAACCAATTTCGATGATAGTTCGCCATCAGCTCTAACTCGACCAGTAGTGTTCAAGTGGAGAGTCTGTACAATGTTACTATACTTAGTTGGTACGCCTTTCAATGACAGATACCGCCACAGAACCTCATGATCAATGGAGTTGGACGCCGCCCTGAGGTCGAGGAATACAACTAGTCGGACATCAAAAAGTATGTCCATGTCCCGGAATCTGAATATTTGGTCCATACATCCACGTCCAAGTCTGAAAATGGCCTGGTTTTTTCGGGTTCGCTCTAGTCAGACGTCGAAGTATTATTGAGGCTAACATTTTAGACACTACATTAGTTAAACTGATTGTCATAAAAGGATTTTAGTCCTTCCTCATGGACTGGGACGATCAGCAGTCCAGACCGGTCAGATGGGATAACGTCCACTTCTGAGACTTTAGCCAAGATTTCAGTTAATCTAACTGCTAAAACTAAACTACCATCCTTAGAAATCTCAGGGGATAGTATTTAAGGCTCTGCCTTGCTTTAGATTACTTACAGTTTTTCAACCTCAATAAGAGTTGGAAGACTTACATCAGTTTGCCAGATAGTGGGCAACTAAAGTGTGGCTGAAGACCAGTTGAACCATTTCCTAAAGTGTTCTGCACATCGGTTCAATCTCCTGCACTGAGAGTGAATAACAGTCTCGTCTTCGTTTGAGATAGTTTCACTCACAATGGGATTCCCAATACCTGTTAACTTGATAAGTTTGCACAGTTGTCTACTGTCACATCTTCTGCTTTCGCCACCGACCACTGCTTACGATCATTTCACGCTTGACTAGCTCGGCCTCTAGTTATTCCTGAAATATATTCTGAACTTCTTAATCCTAAAATTGGTCTCAAAGGAGTTTTCTTGTCGTGGCTTTTCTACATCCAGTAAGACACAGATATATACATGATCGAACTAGATCATGACTCAAGTCTAAACATGTGCTTCAAGATGAGCGAGTTTCCTATCGGGTCCATCCAATAACGGTTAGTGGCAATATAATCTGAGTCCATCGATGGTGGAGGTCGCCACGTCTAGTTTCCATATTTTGGCTAAGATTCTAGCACTGACCGCAATGATGAACAATGTAGATTAGTGTCCATAATTAAAACCTGACAGGGTAGTCAATGGATAAGGATGATGAGGTAAAATTTTGGTTTACCACTAAATAATTAAGTGATTTACGGATTGATAAAACTTATTAGACCGCCCATAAATACGAACTAAATATTTAAACACCAAATACTAGACAAGCTTTACAATTCGCAAAGCACTGCACCATTTCAGGTTGCTACACTTTACTATAGCACATAAAAGAATCAACAAAGATAAGTTAAGCAATGAACTTTAATTTGTTATTTGAGAAAGAGGATGCGAAGATTATTTACTCAGATCATTATAAGGGTTGATTATGTTTTTAATATAGAAATTAAAGTAGTCCCATGATGTTGATAGGGTAACCAGATGGACTGATGGAAATTCTAGAAATTTAAGACTAAAAATACTTGACAACATACGTCCAGATCAAGAACAAAGATCTTACATTGGCTTTAGGCAGAGTCCAAGATGCATCACTATACTTCACATCATTACAGGAATAAAAAACTAACGAGGGCGACAAAGACGAGAAAATAATGATATAAAGAAGAGCAGATATAAACAGAAACGAACAAAACTATGCAGTAGGAAGTGCACCGCAATTGGTTTTGTCGCCTGACTCCGCTAACCAAAAATAATTATGGTAGAGGCTATCTTTGAAGTAACTGCTAATTATTATTTTTATTTAAACGCATAAATATTGGTACGAAGAGGCACCACTTCGTCATTCGGTTTGTGTGAGGGCTGGAATACTGCCCGGGTGCCTAAACTGAAGCAGGTGGTTTTCTTAGGGGACCACACCAGGAGTCTTCGACTTAAAGGTCTGATCCACAATACAGTGGAGCGATGTCAGGAGATGCAGTCTCGTGGTAGTCGGTGGCCAACAATTGGTTCATACGCCATTTGTTCCTTCAGCATACTGGAGCCCATATGCACCAGTGGTTTGGAATCAGAGTTTTTCGACTTCTCTAGGTGGATCCTTCATATTCAGAAACCCTGGTAAAGCGCCGGACATTCGTTTTTTGTCCTCTCAATTTCGTAAACATCCCCGCCGCGAGAAGGTAGTGAGTAGAACTTCCCTGGTGGTGGCTGTATGCGCGTGACCATGTGCGAGCATTTCGAGAGGGAGATCGAACCCTTCCAATCCTCAGCCGTACCACGGGATTTGGGGGCTAAACAAGTACATCAAACTACATAAGCTCTCAAATGACATTCCGAAATTTTATTAGGAAGTCTTACGATAGGTCATGACAACTGGAAACATACTATTCTTCAGTCATACTCGGCTTCAATATAAATATTTTGATAGAGTTGCCTTGTTGACCTCCGGGACCTCTAGTGTGGCATGGCAAGAATTAAAGATGATGATTAGGAACTAATTATATTACAGAATGAATGGTCTACAGTTCATACATGATCTAATCGTCTAGTTGTCAACTAAATTCTAATCGTATACATTCTTGTCTTCAGTGGTTTGTATATAAACGTGGTATCTTGCTATAAAAAGTATACTTCACTGAGTACACGTCTTTTGATGCCAGTTCAATTAGTCTATATGATGACTGGAAGTCCCAGGTTGTAAAATGAAGTTTATAAAGAAATTTTAGCAAATCTAGCTAAAACGACGACTCATAAATGGGAAAATGTGTGCGATAATTGATTTGTGAGAAATTACAGATAAAACCAAGACCCTGTATGTGTTATACTGGACAAGTAAATCGGGAAGGAAGCGGTAAATTTATGAGATCTTACCGAGGTAAACTGACAAATAGGACTTCACCGTATTCTTCAAATACATTCCGAATCCAGTCACCAAGTTCCCAACTTGCTGAGGTCATGTTTTTCAGCTCATTTTCACCTGGTTTTGAACTTTGCCTATGAGGAGTGTTGTCCACATCTACTTTTTCAGTTATCCCGATGGATAAACGTGGAAGTCCTGTAACTAAGATAGTTCGTCTCTCACGAGGTCCCAACTCAGATAACGGCAATACTCGGACAATAGCCAACCCTAGTTTGGTTTAAGCAAAAGGAATATAGTACTTCAAGTTAACCTCAACCACAGTATTAAAACTATACATACGTAAAATGATACAGAAAAAACGTAAATTTTACTAAAGAGACAAAAAATGTGCCAAGTTTTTCTTTATCAGAATTACCAACAAGTTTCAAGACTGCATCAATCAATTTTAAAATCACGGCTAGTAAATAACTTACCATCATCAGACAGACTCACAATTTTTGATGTTCCAACAACATTTTTTATGATATCCTCAGTGACATTCATAGCGATCATACGATTACACTTTAGCAGCAGATCTATTGGGATACCACCATCATCTCGTTTTTGCATTTCCTGTTTGAAGAAGCTATCGCGATTTAAGTTTCCTTCGCTTAAATAAAACTCAACTTGACGTAATATCTTTAAATTATTTTGATCATTTGGTGCAAGATCTTTAGAAAGATTCATGATACTGATCTTCTGGTAACAGTGAACAGTCAAGAAGATATCGAGAATAACACGTTGTTTATCGACTGCGTCGAACCACAATAGTAACTTTGATAAACCTGAATAAAAATGGAGACGACTAAGAACTACACGAAACAGGTTGAACAAGAAAAAGCTAATAACTTCATTGGATTAAGCTGTGATTTTTAGAAAGCACAAAATGTTAGATTAAAGGACAAAACATATCTTAAGTATGGACTAAAAGGGAGATGAAAAGAAAAAGAGAGATGAGTCTATGCGGCAAGGTTCATATTTAAATGGAAGATGATTAAAAACCGAATGTAAATGCGATATCCCAGGTAACTCTGACCTCTATTACACCATACTGATACTATTTCCACATACTACCCCACCGCTAGATTATTCCAACTCATATAATGGGTAATTTAAAAGTGGGCAACTGCCAAACCAAGAAATTTCACCAGTCAGTAAAACGCTTATCTCTTGCTAAAGTAATGTAAGAAGTGCAAGTTTTGCTACTGCATTAGATGACGTATAACGAATAAATTATTAGACAACGTGAATACAATGCCACATAAGAGACTATACTCAATCTCCCCATTTTTGGGTTTACCCTAAAGTTCAATGACAAACAACAGTTTTCCCAAAGTTTGAAGAAACATTACCCCAAAATTCATGAAGATTCCAGCAGACTTGGCAAAATTTCCGGGTTTTCGTGACATTTACTAGAAATTTTCCCGAAACGGACAAAAATTCTCCCTAAATACAGTGTGATTGAGAGATCTTTCCAACATGACTTTTATTAGCCTTACTCGTAAATCACGAAATTTAATGTGGTGCAGCAAACAAAAGTGACTCACAACCTTGAGCAGCTCAAAGACACACTTCATGGTCTCAACGAAGTTAAAACCAGCAGCCGGTAAATTCAATTATCGATCCTTAGTGGATCTGGATTGTTCATCGATGATGGTGCTGACCTGGTACGTGAAAGTTTCCAAATCTTCCAGTGCTTCTCCATCAAGTGTGATTAAGTTGGTATTCCCTGTGTTGTGTTTGAGGATCTTACATTTTTCTTGGGTATGTTGAGGTCTACTGATGCAGAGGCTGCTGCTGCTGCTATACTGGCTGTCTGGATCTGCATTTGTTGGTGTGTTTGAGATAGAAGAAGGGCCAGGCCATCTGCGGAGTTCAAGTCGTGTAATTGATTCCGAGCTGTCCATTGTATTCCATGCTCTCTCCGATGTGGAGGTCTTCATTATCCAGTCAACCACTAAAAGAAAGAGAAGGAGAGAGAGCAATCAGCCTTGTCTGACTCCGGTCCTCAATTGAAATGCATTTGTCAGCTGTCTTTTATACATAACCTTGCAGTGTGGTCTGTCGTATGAATTCCCTATGATATTGATGATCTCACGTTCACCATGGTGTCTAAGAAGGTTCGATAAGGTTCTTTTATCCAAGCTCTTGAACACCTCATAGTCAAGGAAGTTGATGTATAGTGACTAGTTCCATTCAACTGATTGTTCAACGATGATCCGCAGTGTCGCAATTCGGTTTGTGCAGGACCGATCCTTACGGGATCCGGTCTGTTGATCTCGAAGTTAGGCGTCTACTGAATCTCTTATCCGGTTGAGCAAACCTAGGTTGAAAACTTTTCCTGATACCGACAATAGTGTGATGCCTCTATAGTTCTCAAACTTGTTCAGATCTCCTTTCTTTGGTAACTTGATGGGGTGTCCTTCTTTTCAGCATTCCTGTTGACACTTGTTCTTCCTCTCAAATATTCCTAAGAAGAATGTGAAGTATGTTTGCAGTTATTGCTATGTCTGACTTGAGTGCTTAGGCGGGCATATCATCAGATCCTGGTGCTTTCCCACTGTCTGATGATCATCGTGATTTCTTACCTCGTTGGTGGACTGGCATCTATAGGAAAGTTTGGGAGTGCTGCTTTGGTGTTCGGTGGATTAAATGGAGCTGGGTTCAGTGAGACACTTTTATTCAAGAGCTCCTCAATGTGTTCTATACACCTCTTGCTCTGTTCTTGAATCTCAGTGATTGTATTACCTTCTTTGTATTTGGCCGGTCTCTCTGGTTTGCTATATTCCCCTGCTAGTATCTTTGCCATGTGACATAGTTGTTTCATATTTTCCTGTAGTGCAGTTTTCTCACTGTCATTACTAGGTCTTCCATGTATTTCTCCTTGTCAGCTCTAATGCTCTTTCTCACTTGCTTGTCCACTTGTCTATTCTGGTTTGCGTTCTTTGGGAATGTTTTTTTACAGTGTGGTATTGAAGACCCTACACGCAACCCTCTTCTTTTAGCTTGTCTTTAGACCGATAATAACCCCGCAAAAGCTATATACAGAGTCCCCTGTTTTCTTGTCGACTCGAAATTTATATCTCTAGAAATTCAATTCCTAGAACTGCCTTATCGAATTCGGCTACAGTTAACTCTCAGGGGAATCGCCTTCTACGAACTACACAAAATTCAAATAATTTCACATCACTTCTTTGAATTTGGCAATAGCTCAGGCAGTGTTAACTGCAAATTTCCAGGATATACTCGCAGAATTTTCAAATTCGAACCGAACCCTCAGGCTTTCGAATGTATACTACAGGTATATCACACGATCAAATCTGAAGGCAAACCTGTGTTTGCTAGACCCGGTAAACTGGTCCCAGATAAGCTTAAAATCTCTAGAGCCGAATTCGACCACTTGATACAACTGGATGTTTTCCGTTCATTTTATAGCCAGTAGGCATTTCCTCTGCATATGTTCCTATCGAAAATTGAAGGCGATCGATGACCGTATGGGTATTACAAGCTGCTTTGAAGTAAAACCAAAGGAATTCAGGTTGACCTCCTAGGAAGTTAAACAGCTAAAAAATAAATCAGCTCAAACATCTACGTTGATGTATCCGGATTTCTATTTCACACTCGCTTTAATGGTGGACGCTCCGAACAAAGTAGTAGTCAGTGACCTTAACAAAGTTGTTGAAAACGCTCGGAAACCGATTGCGTTTTCCTTAAAAAGACTTGTTTCAGCAGATGTGGGCTATTCTACTTTGGCTGCAATTAAACGCAACTCAATTTCGTAAATGTGGCCTTCGGCTTAGCAACCAATCAGAATGAGGCGGGAATTATTATATCCGCCATCTTTGTAAGCAGTGGCGGTCGGCTTTCTTAGTTCTGTGCTTTTTTCAGCTATTTCTTTTGTGTAGCTTTGTAATTTAATGTTTCAGTGTGATAAGTGCCGCAGTTAGTGTAATGTTCTATATGTTGGTGTGAAATTTATTTCGAATCTGCATTGTTTCTTACTGCTTCTACTCAAGTCAGTGTATTTCGTCAGCCAAGCTGGCTAGTCATGTGTTTTAAAATGGTAATCAACTTTGTTTTGACCTGTTTTCTAGATATCCAAAGTCGAAGTTCGTTTTCAGCTAAAATAATTGTTGCTGCCGCCTGTGACTAACTGTCCACATGTTCATTCTTAACTGTCCTTTATGATGTTATCGGCAAAATGAAAGGAAACAATCTTCGATTTTTAATTTTCTTCAGTATTATGGACAACACTATCCCACCAACGAGTCAAACTAATACTTAGTGCCTAGCAATAGAAGATATCAGAATTGTTTTCGAAAGGAACCAGACTTCGGACAACCATAGACAAAGTCAAAGATGCTACCAATCCATTGCAGAGGGTTTGTTATAAAAAATATGCCATATAGCAGTAATGGAGGGGTTGTACTCATTACGCATTGCGTTAAAGCAAGCTTAACATTGAAAAGCCGGACCCGATTCTGTAGGTTTCCCAAGAAAATGACGAAGATATGCACAAAATCACCTTATGAAGAGCGCCTCTAATCACTTAACCTCTACCCATTGGAGTATAGACGTCTTATAATAATAATAATGGCTTACAGTATCCTTAACACTTCTGGACATTCTCTTAAATACCTAATTAAGCTTAGTCCCAACACTAACCTAAGGGGTAACACCCAGAAACTAGAGACACAAGATATCAGAATGGACTGTAGACGCGACTTCTATTCCTTAGGAGTTGTCAAATGCTGGAATTCGCTGCCCGACAAGCTAGTCAAAGCAAGTCCAGGAGTCCTTTAAGAGGCAACTTGATCTATTCTTAAGGATTAAGGATAGTATCATACTATGATTTACCAATTTCTTTTTACTCTTTTATTGTTAGCATACCTAGGTTCCTGTCTGAAGGTTTTGGTGATCCCCTTCTACTAGACACGGAAGCCTGTTAAACGAAAGCTTCTATTCAGTTCACAACCATTTGAACACATGAACTAGGTGCTGAAAGGCTTGCTTATTACAGGTTTCTTGCAACGATTATGTAGATAAAACAACATAGCATTAGATTCAAAAAATTATTCAAGAACTTTCATTAAGAATCGAATATCAAACGAAGGTTTAGACCAAGTTCCCGTTTAAAAGTTGTATTGGTAATGTTAAGCTGCAGTTTTTGTTGTTTTTCCCCAAACGAAAGAGTAAAAGAAGTCAAAGAAATACTGGGAGTGGTTGTGAGGCTAAAATGGACATCCAACATCATTTTATAATCTGCTGTTAGTCGGGTCTCCCGTAAACAGTTCTAAGGACGGAACAGTTTTTAGGATCTGTGAAGGCTCACTCCTGTTGCATTATAAATGAAAAAATAGTGATGAATTTATTCAGAAATGTGGAATAGGTAGATAACCAAATTACATGTTTTTTTAGCAATGAATTTATGCAGTTGTGATTTACCTTGAGTTCATGAATATTAGATCAGGTCAGCTACTATTACTTGTGCAAAGCATAACATGGACTTAGTATCATGTCGCAATGCTTTTATTATTTTGCTCTCATTTAAGTATTCCAATGCGTCTGCGTCTAGTTTAACAGGAAGACATACAAGCAGAGTTAGTGTCTGATAAACTAAAAGCCCCAGTTGTCAAAAAGATTGTTAACATTTGTCCGCAGCGAGATGTATTTAATTGAGATACAGAACACTCATCTTCTAAAACTGTATACTGCTGTTTTGCGGGCAACTAAAAGCTCAGACGCTTAGCTATCTTGTTACCGATATTATTGTTGGGGAAACTGTTTAATGACAGTGATCATGAAATATGATCAGTGGTAGATGTACAGTCTAGAAATAAACAACAAACATACTTATCGCTATTTTATAATGGATGACAGCAACAACATCAAAAGCACGTTTTTTCCTACTTTTAATCAGACTGATCTGAATCAGCATATTCATCAGAAACAGGCAACTCTACTTACTAAACTGATCTGTTTCGTTACAGGCATCAAGCACTATACTTAAGTATATCATATTTCTTTCAAATAAACTGAATTATACGACAATCAAGAATACTAAACTAAGCAAGTGTTATATTTATTGTTTCATTTGTACAGACATGTTGCTCAAAGTAGATAAATGGACATAATTAGTCCGATAAAACCAAAACACGAAATATAGGCCAGTTGAACTTACCTAACAGAAGATAAAGGATACATATATATTGCTTTCCGACTGACGAAAACAGTCAGTTGTTCATAAGAACATAGTTTACAGTACAACAAACCTTTCTTCAAAAACATTATGCACTGACGGTCTATCTGGAAACAATCAACCATGTGATTAAACTCGCTATGACTTGGGATAACATCTCAGCGTGCAGTGAACGTACAGTGTAACGCAGTCAGACGTGGCGAATAAAAATTAAAAACAGAGCAAAACCAACAGCATAATCTAGTTATTTATTTAAAAATACATTATGAAATGACAAAATCTGTGGTTGCTTGAACGCACAGATGACCGTGTGCGATACATTAATTTTACATGGTTGCGTTGCGGATAAATTCACCCTCTACTTTTGGACGAAAACTCTTCTCAATCCACCAGACTATTAGG